GGGGTCCCACTGGCAGGTGTCATATTCAATGAGACCGCTTTGCCGGGAGACTTAGTCTCTACAGAAACGTTATTGTCAGTGGTCCTTTTGTCTGGAGCCAAATTGACAGGAGCCTATTTGTCGTGAGCCAAAATGACGCTAGCCTATTTGTCGGAAGTCGTAATGATCACGGGGGGCCGTTTTGTGGAAAAAACTAAATGCCGGGAGCCTATATGTCGGGAGCCAAAATGACGGGAGCCTATTTGTCAGGAGCCTTATTAACTGGAGCCCTTTTGTCGGGAGCCTATATAACGGGAGCCTAAATGACGGGAGCTGTGATGGATTGACAATAGAAGCATGTGGTTGTATATAAACGTTTATTGGGTCTAACTACATGGTGATAACCAGAGAGGACGGAAATGACGAGAGACAACTATTTATATATATGTAAGGGACATCATTCAAGATAACAATATAAATATAATACTAATACAGAAGAGTGAGTTCCCTTGACCTCACAATTAATCTCAATCTATTACATCCCTTTACCCTTAGAACACAATAACACATCTCTCAATAGAACAATTGATAGTATCCTAAAATCACCAATTATATTGTAACATGAACACTATGGTAGATTACATCCTTACAAACAATGCACAATATGCTACAACATAATCAAGATACAAAACAATGATGTCAAAGTCCTTTTGACCTTTAAAATCATAGGTCTAACTTATTTGGGACTTTGATTGTCCTGTTTGACCTTCTCAGTAGCTTTTGATTTGGTGACTCAATATTCTGACCATTTGGATTCTCTATCTCAGGAGGTCTAGGATTTAAATCATTAACTCCAGAATTTACATTTTCTGACTCCAGACAACTTGGTTCACTCATATCAACAGAACTTTGTTGTGGAACAAACTGAGTTGGTGTGAACTGTTCAGATTTGGTGGGATTGACAGATTCACACTTATTATCTGCACAAGTTATTTTTAACTGGTCTGCATGTCTACGGACAATAAGTCCATCATTTGTTTTTACTTTATAAGACACAGGTCCTGTACATTGAACAATTTGACCTGGTATCCATTTTTCCCTTCTCCCATAATTTCTCAGATACACGTTATCATTAACTGCAAATTCTCTTTCAATGGATGATTTGTCATGATTTACTTTTTGTGTATGTTGATGTTGGGAAACAGACCTTTGAACAGTTGGATGTAGTAGGTCAAGATGGGTTTTAATTTTCCTACCACATAGCAATTCACATGGTGCAACATCTGTTGTTATATGAGAAGTTGTGCGGTATTTGGCTAATAACCTGTTTACTCTTTCATTGTCACATTTAGCTTCTTCTGTTTGGTATTTACTTTTGATGTTACCCTTTTAGTTTCTGTAAGTGCTAATAATGTTAGCAAAGTTGTTTGATGATCACATTCCTTCTTACTAATGTATTCTCTTTAAAACATTTGAAATTGCCATATCACCATAATCATTTATTAAGTTACAAATACTTTGTTTAGGCAACTCTGACTGATAATGGACTGCATCTTCTCCATCTTTTAGACTTATCTTCACAAAGGTTTTTATTTCTTATTTAATATGGCCTTAAGTCATCATTCACAGACTCTTCAGGCCAACCATTCTTACAGTACTCATATACTTTTATTAAGCACTCATCTTTTTGTGTTTCTCTTTTAATATCATTCACATTTATATTGGAGTTATCCATGATAGTGAAGAGAACAAATACATCTTCTGGTACATAGCTCAGGCTTTGGTTTTTTAAAGGTAATCTACTAAGACTATCTGCACTATTCTCAGATCCAGGTTTGTATTTCAATTCATAATTGTATGCAGTTAGTGTGATGGCCCATCTTTGAATTCTTGGTGGGGCATGCTCAGGTAGGGTTTTGTTTTCTCCAAATAAACCTAGCAATGGTTTATGATCTGTAAAGATGGTGAACTTCCTACCAAACAGAAACTTGTGAAATTTCTTAACACCAAAAATGATGCCTAAGCCTTCCCTATCTAACTGAGAATAATTTTTCTCAGCCTGGTTCAAAGATCTACTGGCAAAAGCAATGGGTCTGTCACCCTTCTCATCCATGTGGGACAAGACTGCTCCTACACCATCTGGTGAAGCATCACATGTTAATATAAGTCTTTTCCCTGGGTCATAGTGAGTTAGTAAGGTGTCAGAAGACAAAGCTTCTTTTGCTGTATTAAAAGCAGTATCTTGTTGTTTACCCCAGTGCCAAGTTGCATTTTTCTGTAGCAGCTTGTACAGTGGTGATAGTTTACCAGACAGATTCCCTATGAACTTTGCATAGTAATTTATCAAGCCCAAAAAAGCTCTTAGTTGTTGGGTATTTTCAGGTTTGGGTGCTTCTTTAATGGCTTTTGTTTTCTCAGGTTGAGGTCTGATGCCTTGCTTGCTTAATATATAACCAAGAAAACTAATTTCTGTCAGCATGAATTGACATTTATCTTTGTTTATCTTTAAACCTTTTTCACCAACAATTTTCAATACTTTATCAAGTGTTTTAAGATGTTCAGTGTCATTCTTACCAGTTATGTACACATTGTCAAAGTACACACAAACATTTGGAATATCCTTAAAAATACTGTCCATGACAGCTTGGAAAATTCCAGGGCTGGATGATATGCCAAAACATAGTCTTTCATATTGGTAGAGTCCTTTATGTGTGTTTATTGTCGTATAGACTTTTGAATCTGGATGCAGTTCTAGTTGAGTGTAAGCATGACTAAAGTCTAATTCAGTGAATTTGTCTCCTCCTGCCAAATTCAAAGAAATTTCCTCAATGTTAGGAATAGGGTACCTATTTAGCTCTATTTGCTTATTCAGTGTAGTTTTATAATCTCCACAAATTCTTATAGAACCATCCTTCTTTAACACTGGCACAATGGGCGTTGCCCAATCGGAATAGTCTACCTTCTTTATGATGCCATTAGATTCCAATCTACTTAGCTCATTTTCAATTTTATTCCTCATTGCATAAGGTGGAACTCTAGCTTTGCAGTATCTTGGATTTGTGTCTTTAATGCTTACCTTCACTGTTCTATCATTTAGTAAACCTGAATTGCCAAAAACACTTTTATTTTCAGATATAACTTTATCTAGTGAAGTAAGACTAGATTCTCTTACATTCTTCAATGAACATATACTCTCCCAATTTAACTTAAGATCACTTAACCAGTTCCTACCTAGTAATGGTGGTCCATTTCCTTCAACCACAAGAAGAGGAAGTTTAACACTTTGACCATTATAACTTACATGAACCATACACTCTCCTATTACCGGAACATTGTCACCAGTGTATGTTGTTAGACACTTGTGACATGGCTGTAGAGGCACTGATCCTCCTGTGACAGCGTCAAAATCTTTCTTTGTTATGACTGTTAGAGATGCTCCAGTGTCAAGTTGGAAGCTGATGCTCTTACCGTTGATATTAACTAGTACATTGATGGGAGCATGACTTTCTGATTTCACAGGGAACAGGTTGAACTCCGGCTGCAAATCAGTTTGAGCATTTTCACAGGTAGAGTGGTTCATTGGTTGGGTTAGGTAGTCTTGGTGAGAGTTAACATAGTGCTGCCTTTGGTTGCGGTACTGTCTTGACTGGCTAAATTTAGCAACAGACGAAGACTTTGCAAAGCAGGCCTTGGCAATGTGACCTTGCTTACTGCACTTATAACAAGTTGCTAACTTGAACTTGCACCGATGAGATGCATGGGGACCTTTGCATCGATGACATTTTTGATAATTATTACTAGATTTAGATCTAGGATTTGAACGTGCAGGCTGTTTAGCATAAGTTGAAATGCTCTGATGGGGTTGGTGTTTGTTGACTAACCTGCTGTTTACTGCATGGATCTCTGAAGGTGCTAAAGATCTCGCCGCATCGGATGACTGCTGGAATGAAGTTGCAAGTTGTATTGCTTTTTCCAATGTTAGATCTGACTCGAGCAGCAACTTTCTTTGAATATCAGGGCTGTTTACACCTGTCACAAACTTTTCACATAGTCTGTCAGACAGCGTATCGCCGAATTCACAAAATTCACTTAAATGACGTAAGGCAGCAACATATTCTGATATCGACTCGTTTGGTTGACGAGTCCTACTGTCAAATCTAGCTCGACATAGAAACTTTGATGGGGTAGGCGCATGGTGGTCTGTTAGCAATTTGCTCAGCTCGTTAAAGCTCTTGGTAGTTAGACTAGCTGGTGCGCATAAGTCCTTTAGTAGCCTAAATTGTTGAGGCCCTATGACTGTTAACAAAACAGCTCTCTTTTTGGCTTCTATCGTCACGTCATTTGCTTCAAGGTAAAAGCTTAACCTATCTAGGTAATCTTGAATGATTTCATCATTCGAATCAAATTCTTTTATTTGGCCATACAGCGCCATTATTCTAGAAATACTTAGCTAATAAGCTCTAGCAAACCTCTTTTTTGCGTAAGTAGGTGCTCTTTCTAGTAGATTTTTATCCTCGTCGCCAGATATAATGGATTGACGACAGAAGCATGTGGTTGTATATAAACGTTTATTGGGTCTAACTACATGGTGATAACCAGAGAGGACGGAAATGACGAGAGACAACTATTTATATATATGTAAGGGACATCACTCAAGATAACAATATAAATATAATACTAATACAGAAGAGTGAGTTCCCTTGACCTCACAATTAATCTCAATCTATTACAGGAGCCTATTTATCGGGAGCCTTTATGACGGGGTCCATATGTCACTGGCCATTTTGACGGGGCTCTTATGTCGGGGCCGATTTGTCGGGGCCGATTTGTTGGGGTCGTCTTGACGGGGCCGTTTTGACGCCGCACGATAGACACTGATACACGCAACCGTGACCAGGTTTCCGAAGGGATTTTTCCAAAATTAAGAATAGCGCAATAATTATAAATAGCACTCGGGGGAATTTCTTGTTGATCTAAATCTAATGGAAAAAAAGAAGATAGGAAGGTGGCGCTGCGATCTATATCTATCTCGAAGGGGAAAAAACAGCCACTACCTTCTGATCACGGCAAAATATTTGATCTAGGGCTTATTCTATTATTATTAATAATAATTTATTAAGCCTATTATTTTGAATTAAATACCCAAATTACTAATTTGAAATTAGTATAAATGTTAAACGTTTAGACTAGGATCTACAAGATTATAAAACAACAACAAATAAAATGGGCGCATTGTTTAGCTTTAGCAAAGACCATGATAGAATAGTTATTGCGTGTAAGTAAAATGTAAATCATTTTCTACGTTCATAGCAAAACTTATCTAATCAATTTAACTGTAAAACTCGATCTACATGAAGCATAAACATGCATAATTAATAATATATTGTAAGTTTTCTAAAACTTTCACAAAATCTGGACACAAATCGGTATGACTAATAGGCTACATGCCTATACTATACAGTCCTATACTATAAAGTATATTTAGTATAAAGTTACAATAAAAGTACCATAAACTATTTTAAATGAAGGTCTAATAATAATATGATTAGGTCTGGATCCTTGGTGCAAGACTTCACAGTTGTTCAAACTAAAGCTTGGAGAGGTTGTTACAACAATACCCCCATTTGGTCAGTTTTTTTTATCATACATTATTAATTATTAATAATTATTTATTTAAAAACCTAGGCCTATATTGCCTATATATAATATATTTCTTTTATTTTAATATCTAGGCCTAATTTACTAAAACATTTTAATTAGGCCTATTTATAATTTATTTAGGCTATGGAGTTTAAAAAATCAATGTCTTTAAGCTATTATTATACAATTTAAATTTAAAAAAACAGCTGTTGGTGTTGCTAAAATTTTTATAGCAACATCTTATTCTTAATTTATCAATTATTTTATTATCTTTAGGTATCAATTTCCAGAAACTCGACTTGAATGAAGCATTTGACATTTGTGGCAGAGATAAAATGGTGTGTTTGATCAAATATTTTCTGTCTGTTGCTTATTATAGTTGGCCGTTAACTGTAATCAAATTTTTTTAAACTTGGAAATTAAAAAAAAAAAAGGTTGTTTTCTTTTGGACAAAGAATCAATTTATAATTAAAATAAAATTGTTGTTTTATAATAAGAATAAATTCCATTATTAGCAATTAAGCTATATGATAAAAATGTTGACTTTATGCCCAACACAAAAATGAACATACATTTACACTCCTTTTTATAACCTTTGCCTTACCAACCATAGAATATTATCTACATTTTTAAATTAATAGCTTATTGATGCTAATTTTAATGATCATTCAAAATAATTTTGGTTATAACATTTTTATTTATTACATTTTAATTAAGCCTAAATGCTGTTAGTTGCGATACTTGTGTAAATTATTATTAAAAAAAAACACATTGGTTAAACAAGCTAAAAACATATTGAGTTTATTATCCGGAGCTTTTAACATCATTTCAGCGTCCCCTCTCTCGTGATTTCTACGCTAACACAGATGGAGTTATCTACATGATTGACAGCAACAACAGAGAAAGATTAGACGATGCTATAGACGAGCTAATGCAGAAATTCTTAACTGTAAGTAAAAAACTGTCATTGTGTGCATAAAGTTTTTGTATTGTGTGAGAGAAACATTTTTTTTAAAATGGGAATATGAGCTGAGATAAATTATTTGTCGTTATGGTCTTGGTTAACCAAATTTTAAAAAAAATCTTGGATTGCAGCAGCCTTATGATTTGATTGACACTGTGGTCATGGTCCTGGCCAACAATCAAGATCTACCCAATGCACTTTCCTCACAGGAAATTGAAGATCGGCTGAAGGAAAAATGTCCTCGTTGCAGACAGAGTAAGCTTTTATCTAATTGTTATTCAATAAGTCTAGGCTTTAGTTTAGGTGGTTTTATTTTAGTTTGGGTGGTTTTGTTTTAGTTTGGGTGGTTTTGTTTTAGTTTGGGTGGTTTTGTTTTAGTTTGGGTGGTTTTGTTTTAGTTTGGGTGGTTTTGTTTTAGTTCAGGTAGTTTTGTTTTAGTTAAGTGGTTTTATTTTAGTTTGGTAAATTTTGTCAGGTATTAGCTGGCTATAGATTGTTTTTGTTGTTTTTAAGCTCTGTATGATTTTTTCCTGTTAGCTACCACCTAATAGATAATTAGCTATTGATTTGGCACAAATTAAATAATTCATTTCCTTTAACACTTTAAACTCTAGGCTACTTATTCTTTGTTAAACTTATAAATGTGTTTTTTATATACTTGCCTATTAGTTAAAAGAATAAAAATCTAGGGTTGAGAAGAAAATCTGGCCAAAACATTTATACAACACGCATTGTGTAATATGTGATAGTTGTGTGATAACTTTGTGACAGCTGTGTGATACACATCTGATACGCTGTTCCAACTGGTACATTAAGTGTTTCATTTGCATTTTTTGGAATGCATTCAAGTCTCACAACATTTACTCTAGTCTTTTTTTTCCAATACAAACAAATCAAAGGAACCAAAGTCTGATTAAAAAATGATAAGTTTAAATTAGTTTTGAAAGTTTCATGGGTAACTTATTTACTTTATCGTTTTACTTCCAGCAATATTTGTGTTGCCGTGTTCAGTAACCACAAAAGTTGGTGTGCATGAAGCTTTTGATGAATTTGTTAAACAAATCAAATTAATGAAAGCTGGGAAGGCAGAGAGGAGTTACATTAATGTGCACAAATCTATGGAGGAAGATAAAAACTGTTCAAAGGGAAGGAATTCATTAAATTCTATCTGGCCTGGTTATTTTAAGAGTTATCTTTCTTACTTCAAGCAGATTCTCTCCAATAAGAAACAAAAAAATAATTCTGTAAAGATGAGTGCTGGCAGGTCAGCAGAACCAGTGGACACTGTGACGTCATCAAACGCAGGAGATTCACAGCAAATGGTCAGCACTGACAGTCAGCAGACCAATGCTCAACACAAGTTGGACAAGTGCTGACCTACACAAGTTATCTGGTGACCTTAAGCTCACCAGTTATGTCCGGCTTGAACTCTATTCTACCAGTACTTCTGAGCTAAGACCTAGACCACCCACACAAGCACAGCCAACCTACTGCAACATTTCTTGGTGAAATGTACATTTGAAGCTCCTGTTCCACTCAAATCATTAGCAGTATAAAAACATCCATAGGGTGTACATAGAACATGTGAATAGAACAAAAGGGTCCAAAAGAAATGTAAACAATTTTTTTTTGTATGGGAGAGTGTGGCCTAGCGGTATACTTGCTAGACTTCTAACATGTAAGTCTCTAGTTTGAATCCTGGTTCGTCAATATCGTTACGATCCCTAGGGATCTTTAACCTTGTTTGGCCCCATCGACGGGGAAGTGACCTGATGCTCATAAACTAAGATGACCAGCGCTTGAATAGCCGGCCAGGTAATTAAAATGAAATGCGAAGGCATGGTCACGGACTGGCCAGTATAGGCCGTGAGAATCCGGAGGTCTGGCCGACCACACCGCGGATTGGAATCCACGCTGTGAGCGGTGCAGAATTGGAGTCTGAGGGACTGTGATAGTAACATGGCCAACAGCCCATAAATTACCTTGTGACGCCACGGGCTGACCGTTGATGCTTGACCTAGGCTAGTGACAGTCCGTGGTTTCTGGCTGGAAAACCCATGGCCGGAGATGACCCTGGGGTAGACCCCACACCTGCCTGGGCGGTTGTTCTGACTGTAGAACACGGGGGACACCGATATTTTAGGGGAGACAGGCACACACACACAGACAGACAGACACTCGGATGGTTAGGGTGAGAATACTAGTGGGATGTCCCTGTGAGCTGGTGGCAAGCCACGAGATGTCTGTACTGTTGTAGACCTAGGCTAGGATAGACCGTTAGGGACAGAGTAGATTAGTCCCACTAAGGACTTTAGTTGTTGTAGATAGTTGTATATCTTATTGTGTTCCATGTGGTGGCGGGTTAACGTTAGTTAGTGTATCTTTATTGTGGCAATAAACAGAAAAGATTGATATTGGTATTCTTGTTTACGATTCCCTGACTAGTTCAAAAAGATTAGAGAAGAGGGTCGTAACAATAGAAGTTCCTGAGTCCACACAGCTCTGATGAGAACCAAACTCACATTAGGGAAAATAAAGGCAGCAGGGCAAAGTGCTGACTACACTATCCCTTCATACGCAGAGGTCTATGAAACACATGAACTCTACTTCATCTGCTGATGTGATGATATTTTTTGTATTTATGTATTCGTATTTTTTGTATTATGTGTACTTTCAATGAGGATATTATGTTCCATTTTAATATGAGGTTGTATCAGTGCCATTTACCGTAATGTTATTTTGAATTTATTATTCTTTACTAATGGTAAAGAAATTATGATAAATTTTAAGACAGTGTGCTGATCGTGATTTTTGCACAAATAATAATTTTAAAAATGTAGGCTATTGTTTTTGTTTTTATGCTGAGTGATTTAATTTGTGATTGTTTTGTAAATATATTGCTCATATACATTTTTATACATATATTTATTTTTGGAAACTTTATTTCTAATAAAATAACAAAAATATTATAGACGATGTTTTTTTTTTAAATTATAAAGCACTAAGTACATTTTGTTAATTATACATTAGGAATAATTTGGGAGTATCAGTAAATAAATTTTGCGTCATTAGCAAGTCTGAGTGAAAAGTTAATTAATTAAAACAGCCAAATGTTCTGAGAACAACTTACTCTTTATGCGTCTAACCTGAGCTTGTTGCCTACATTTTAGGCCAAATTAATTATTTATTTAACAGAAGTTTGCAGGGGAAGGAAGCAGTTTTATTTCACTTCATTAAAATACTATATATTTCACAGTAGCTTCCCTTTATGGTTACTACAACAAAATATCCGGCCAGCCTGTTATTTATATTGATCTAGATCTAGATTCTAGAGCTTTGGAGTCAGAACGTAGAAATCTAGATTTTAGATCTAATATAATATAATAATATCACGCTCGACTACTAGCCCGAAGTACCCGAGTTCGGATCTCGGTTGGGACTTGTGACTGTAGTGTAGGATGTCCCTGAGTCGTCCCCGCTCTGCTGGGTACCTGACTCACGTTATCTACCTACAATGACTTTATTTAGGTCTCTACACGGCATCACAAAAGCTTTTGCTAAATATATTTTTGTGGACAACAATGAATTAATGACGTTGATAACATTTCACCAATATTTCCATTAACGTAATTTTAAAAAAGTTATTTACATAAACAACAGTTAGTGTAGATTTAACAGTATATTGGTGTATGTTTTGAAACTACTTACTCTTTACCACAAAGCTTGTCATAAAAAATATTTACATGAGCCTAATGACACTATGTTCATAATAAGCATGGGAAATAAACAATTCATTGTTTTCTTTTTTACATTTCTTGAGTTACCTCCCTGCCCGTTACTACAACAGGATCTGACCAACAGACAAGGATCCAATGTTAAAAATAGCAACACAGTAAGTGACACTGTTGAAAACAGCGTGGAAGTGGGCCAAGAACGTTACACATTCAGAACAAAACTACATGACTACATACATGAGCCTAGAACTTAGATCCATATACTATATAAAGTTTTTACAGTGTGCCATCTTACAAGTTAATAGCTAGATCTAGGCCTTTATGGATATTATATATATTTATATATTATTATAGGCATATTAATAATAATTAATAATACAAATATAACAATTAGTATAGTAAGTATAGTTAGTTAAGTTTAGTATAGGCCTACCACTACCTATAAAGTATAAATAAATCACTAAACTAAATATAAAAATAAACATGGGTGCTTGGTTTAGTTTTAACAAAGATTACAGAATACTTATACAAGGTAAGTTAATCAGTTTTTGGTTCAACTTATGGAATACACTATTATGCAGTTATAATGAAAATTATTGTTAGGCCTATAGTTACAGTATAATTGGCAAAAATTGTATTTAATATTTTAAAAGATTTGTTATGCAACTGAGCTAGGAATGAGCTTAGAATTGTTTCTGTGGTTGTATTAAAACAGGTCTTGATGCTTCTGGCAAGACTTCACTGTTGTACAAGGTGAAGCTTGGAGAGGTTGTTACAACAATACCCACTATTGGTCAGTTTTTTTATGGCAATTTATAGGCAGTAAATGTTTATATTCTCAAGCATTTTTTACTTTGATAAGTTGAAAAAAAAATTCTGTTACAATTTTTTTTGTTTAATTAAAATGTGGCTATCACTGTGTTATGGAATGACAAGTTTAAATGGTTAAGCGTTTGGATGCTAGCCCCAAGTTCTCAAGTTCAGATCTAGGTTTGGACTGGTGGCTATCAGACGTCCTTGAGTCCACCCAGCTCTGATGAGTACCTGACCTACATTGGGGAAAGTAAAGGCAGCTGGGTATAATGCTGACCACATTATGCCTTCATATGCCAAGGTCAAGAAACTCTACTTCATCTGCCCAATGGTTTGCTAGGGCTAAAGAGGAACTTAACTTTACTAATTACTTAATTACAAGCTGTAGCTTGAATCAAACAATGTTTTTATTTCAGGCTTTAATGTGGAGACAATCCACTGGGATGGAGTTTCTCTTGTAGCCTGGGACATTGGTGGGAGAGATAAAATGGTGAGTTGGTTGATGGTCAGTGTTGTACTGACCACTGCTGGACATTCAGGCTTCTGATACCTTCACTAGCCTGTTATTATTAACATTTGAATACAATTTTAACCCTAAACCTAGCCTCAAAACTAGTCTTAACTACCTAAACAATAATATAATAAATTTACAAATTTTTAATCTTAAAGAAAAATTTATAAAAATGTTATAGGGTCTAATTGATAATTGTTTTGTTTTAAACTTTTTTAAAAACATTTTTGATCAGTTAGAAACCAAATAAATTACTTCTACATAAATAATAACAAAACACTTAATTAACATATCAAATCTATAAAATGATTATGAAATTTTTCAGCGTCCTCTTATCCGCCATTACTACGCCAACACACAAGCTGTCATCTACATGATAGACAGCAATGACATACAAAGATTAGATGAAGCCATAGACGAGCTTATAAAATATGTCATAACTGTAAGTGGCCATTCATCTTTTTGTGTGCTAGTGATGTGTTTAAAGAAAATATTGTTGTATCATGGTAGTGTGTTCACATCTTACATGTAAGATTATATGTTAGTCAGGTTTCTTTCAGTTTATTTTTTCAACATTCCATCAAAAGTATCAAAGTATGAATTAATTTAATTATATAGACAAGGATCTAGGATAAAACAAGGATAAAAATAACCAGGAAATGCAAGAAATATCATCCATATTGTTTTAGTCTTGTTTTTTGTTGCGATTTCTTGCTTATTTTAATGAAGATTGTTAGATGGAATCACCTTCAGTGATTCCTTATACATTATATTTTTAAATATTTGAATAAATTTGAATAATTTCTAAAAATTTATGTTACAGTATACTAATTTTAATTTACAATATAGCCTACTAAAAGTTAGTTTAGTTTACAATATAGCCTACTAAAAGTTAGTTTAGTTTACAATAAAGCCTACTAAAAGTTAGTTTAGTTTACAATATAGCCTACTAAAAGTTAGTTTAGTTTACAATATAGCCTACTAAAAGTTTGTTTAGTTTACAATATAGCCTACTAAAAGTTTGTTTAGTTTACAATATACTAAACAGATGAGTTGGAAAGCTCGTAGGAAGTATTCTGTGTACCTCTGTTTTATGTAGTTGGATACTTGTGTTTACTGATGTTGGGAATAAGTATCTAGTTGTTGTATCCTGTATGTTTGTAATGTAGAAAAAGTATATTAAGTCATTAATTGTGATTCTGTTGTATTTCTGTCATGTATAAAAAGTATATTAAGTCATTAGTTACCTACTCTCTTGTTATGTACTCAAGCAAACCAAACCAAATACATTTTTTTTTAAATTCTACCAGGCAGATGAGCTAAGAGACACTGTGGTCATGGTCCTGGCCAACAAACAAGACCTACCCAACGCCGTCCCATCACAAGAGATTGTAGACAGGCTGAAAAAAAGATTTCCTCGCGTCTCGCAGAGTAAGTTTAAACTTTATCTAAGCGGTGACTCAGGGTGGGGAGAGTTAAAAATAGTCCAAACATTTTCACTTCCAACATATAATTAATCAGTTTTTAATAACTACAATTGTCCATGTTTAAAATTAAAAAAAAAAGAGTTAACCCTTTTGACAGTTAAGTTTAAAGTAAATAGATCTAGATGATTTAAGAATGTTAGGTTCAGGAAAATATTTCTTCAAAATGTAACCAATGAAAATAAAATAAACTTTTTTTTTTACTTCCAGCAATATTTGTGTTGCCGTGTTCAGTGTCTACCAATGCTGGTGTGCACGAAGCTTTGAATGAGTTTGTGAAACAAATCAAATTGATGAAAGCTGGGAAGGCAGAGAGGAGTTACATTGATGTGCACAAATCTATGGAGGAAGACTGTTCAAAGGGAGGGAATTCATTATATTCTATCTGGCCTGAATACTTCAAGAGTTATCTTTCTTACTTCACTCAAATTTTTTCCAGTGAGAAACAAAAAAATATTTCTGTAGAGGTAAGTGCTGACAGGTCAGCCGAACTCTTGGACACTGTGACGTCATCAAACACAGGAGACTCACAGGAAATGGTCAACACTGACACTCAGCTCACCAATGCCCAACAGTTAGACATTCAGCAGACCAATGCCCAACATGTAGAACCTACTGACCAGTCTCAGCCTGTGTTAGACTCACACAATAAAAGTGCTGACCTACACAAGTTATCTGGTGACCTTAAGCTCACCAGTTATGACCGGCTTGAACTCAATTCTACCAGGACTCTGAGCTAAGTCTCTAAGACCTTGACCACCCACAGAAGCACAGCCAACCTACTGCAATATTTCTTGGTTAAATGTACATTTGAAGCTCCTGTTTCACTGACATTATTAGCAGTATAAAAACATCCATAGGGTTTACATAGAACATGTGAATAGTCCAAAAGAAATGTAAACAATGACCATGTTTTTTGTATGGGACAGCATGGCCTAGTGGTATACTTGCTAGATGTCTAACCTGAAAGTCTTGAGTTTGAATCCTGGTTCATCAATAGAATGTTCCTGAGTCTACCAAGCTCTGATGGGTACTTAACTCACATTAGGGAAAATAAAGGTGGTTGGGCATAGTGCTGATTACACTATCCCTTCATATGAAGAGGTCTATGTGTAACAACATGTATTCTTTGTTGTTGTGGGTTTCATACAGGAACACGAGCAACAGTGGCAACTTGAAATGACAACTTTATTTACACTATGTACAGATAAATCCGTGGTACATCCATATTTGAAGATCAACTGATATAGGTACAAATAATAATCACGACTCCAAGTCATGGAGACATCTTACATTCACTGCCCTCGTTCCAGTCCCAAGTCCTAGCACACAACAACCGTTCACCTTTTGCTCTCCCTTTTATTCACTACTTTCTCTCCCCTTACGTACATGAGCGATCTCACCCAAAAGCATGGATAAACACATGAGGATCGCTCAGACAGTCCTTCCGCTAGCCAGGTATTCTTCATTCATGCAACTTCATGTAAAACACAATATAATATAAACATACATAATTATACAGTCTGTGACACGTCCCCCCTTCAAATAAAATTTTGTGTAACAAAATTTATAAATACAATATTGGTAGGGCAGGATCGTGTGCCAGACAACAAAAAATTGTGTACAACTCAAAGTAGAGTAAAATATATTCATTTTAGACTAAGCACTTGTAGTCATAAATTTATAGTGCATACAAAAGACAACAGTATGTAGTGACTATATCACTGATAATTGAAATATGTCAGTGTTTTGAACAAAAACTTTAAATGTACAAGCATTATATGTAATATTTAATGCATCAATATACATTCACATAGGAGAAAAAAACATTTCTATTACCCAGTAATTGTAGTATAAACAAGATAAATGAGTTTAGTAAATTACCAAACTATAATACATCGTTGAAATTATCAAAGACTTGATTCAACTCATAATTTAAATAACTATATCCTATGTAGTAAAAACAAAGACTTCCTTATCATCAAGGTATGTTATTACCACGCATGAGTAATATACTTTGTTGTCTCCCCTAGTCGACCCATTTCAGTCATATCTAGGTCACAACACAACAACATTGCCTTTCACAGGTATGACTAACACACAATTCATCATTGAGACTTCCGTCTTATTGTTATGCGGAATAATAGTCTCTAACTTTTACTTGATTTACTTTATTCACTGTTAATTAATAGTATAGAATAGGTTTAACATAATACAGTTTTCATTCTTTTGAAATATTACACAGTTTATATTACTGATACAAATTGTTTGATATCCATATTTTACAGTTACAGACTGTATAATATTAATGAACTGTCAATTGACAATTTAATCTTAGCATCCTTGTTTAACTCAATAGCATGAGTAATCGTTCTTGTGTAGTTGACGATGGCCTGTTTGCCATCTCTCCCTCAAATTGTATGTGTATCTTTTAGCTTTGTTACCATAATTATTTCCTAGATTTCGTGTAACTTGTGTTACTTCATTTGTTTTAATATTCTTCTCTGGTTTCTGAACAACGTCAGTAGTTATCTTGCTTTGTGTACGTTCGTTTGGTTCATCAACCAACTCAATATAAATATTATGGCATTGCTTTGGCCTTTCATAATACATCTTGCTTCGGTATCTTCCATTAGTATACCTATTCATACTTTTGTTATTCTGATTTGAACTTGATACATTATTTCTTAAATGACTGTATTTCTCACATAACTTTCTGTGTACATAATTGTTTCTTCTCTGATTTGCCAACCTATGCCAACATTGATTTTGGTAATGACCTGCTTTTCCGCAGTAAAAACATCTAGATTTTGGCTTCTTATAAACATGGTGACTGTATTCATAGTTTGCAAAATTTCTTTTTCTTTCATTCTGTGCATTAATGACATTAATGACATTCTTATTAACATGGTGACTGTATTCAAAGTTTGATACGTTTCTTTTACTGTCAGTTTGTAATTTATTGACATTGTAGTTTCTAGATATTGTTTCATCTTTCTTAACTTCCTTGTGCTTCTTTATTGATTCTAGTTCACACATAAATTTATGTGTTAATTTCTCCATTTCTTTGTTAAATTTATTCTTGAGTTCTAGTATATCTTCTTTATAGTTTGATTCCAATTTTCGAAGTAAATCTTCAATAGGTACGTTCTCTTCATTGTGGCTTATTAAGTTCACTGATTCATTAATCATCATTAGTTTATCATGATTCCTGCCATTCTCCGATGGACTTATTAAATCATCACTGCCATTGACTGATGGGCTTATTAAATCATTTTGATTACTATTCTCTGATGGACTTATTTCTTTTTGACTGCCATTCTCTGATGGACTTACGATACAGCTTTCACTAATATTCTCGTGTACCTGCGTATCATTCAATAAAGAGTCAATCTTAAGACATTCTAATGTATCTGTCACCTTTAAATCATTATTAAGTTCACCCTCTGTTTTTTCCTTGGGTTTCAATTCTTCCTGGACTATGTTACTCTGTTCTTCATTCCAAAGGTTGCCAATATTTACTTCTTCAAGTTCTGCTTTAAATTCTATCTGTTCACTTTCTAATTTTGGTTCATTTGTGTCTGTTATAGCTTTCATTTCTAATAGTTCTTGTTCATATGCTAGTTCATGTAGGCCAACTTGTTTTTCCATAGTTTCAGCCCTTTTATCTGCTCTCTGTTTTCTGTTTCTTTTTTTCCGCTTTCCTTTTGGTTGTACAGTCTCTTCTACTTTATCTAATTCTGAAATGTCTTCTTCTTTATGCATGTCTGTAATAGCTCTTGATCTATTACACACTATTTCTATCATATCATCTAGTTCTCTCAATACATTTCCATGAGCTCGTCGGGGTTGTTCTGTTTCTTCGTCCCATGCTTCTTTTGCTTCTTCTATGTCTTTTTCAAGTCGATTGGTTGCCCAGGCTATCTGCTTATTCATCTTCTTAATGCCTTGCGCCCTCGCTAGTGCTAGATATTCTTCAAAACATGACATTTTGATATATTTTCTATGACATAAAATATAAATTCATTAGTTGACAATAGATAAATGTTAATTAATTTACAATACCCTTTCTTGTATTCTGGCTTTGTTCAGTTGATTAGAGACATCTAGTAATCCAAGAAAAGTTCATAGTACATATATAGTACAAGAATAGTTCACTTTGTTGATTCCAAAAAGTTGAAAAAAATTCAAAATAGTTCTAGTAGCCTGTTACAGAGTAGAAATTTGTCCAGTTTTAGATAAGACATCTTTAGGAACAGTTTAGGAACAGTTACAAAAATAAACTTGATCTGCTAAATCCAAACAGTAGAAAAACTTGAACAGCTAATCCATATAGAAAAAACTTGAACAGCTAAATCCAAACAGTAGAAAAGAAACACTAAGACTTGATCGGCTAAATCCAAACAGAAAAAACACACAGACGATATTTACTCGACATTGGTGAGACAATATCGAAATAAGGTGATAAAAATTATCACGTTGATGACTTGACTTGAACAAGACGTCTGACTTGACTACAGCAACCCTTCTGACTTGAGTGTAGATAGATGACTTTCAAGAACTTGACGTACTTGGTAAACAGTGGAAGACCACAGACTGTAATATCTCCATTTCTGACATATGTAGCACCAATTCTTCAACCACTTGTGACATCATAAGTAACAGTAATACAATGTAGCAACATCACTTTATTGCCTCCACTTCTGACACCATATGTAACAACATGTATTCTTTGTTGTTGTGGGTTTCATACAGGAACACGAGCAACAGTGGCAACTTGAAATGACAACTTTATTTACACTATGTACAGATAAATCCGTGGTACATCCATATTTGAAGATCAACTGATATAGGTACAAATAATAATCACGACTCCAAGTCATGGAGACATCTTACATTCACTGCCCTCGTTCCAGTCCCAAGTCCTAGCACACAACAACCGTTCACCTTTTGCTCTCCCTTTTATTCACTACTTTCTCTCCCCTTACGTACATGAGCGATCTCACCCAAAAGCATGGATAAACACATGAGGATCGCTCAGACAGTCCTTCCGCTAGCCAGGTATTCTTCATTCATGCAACTTCATGTAAAACACAATATAATATAAACATACATAATTATACAGTCTGTGACACTATGAAACAGATGAACTCTACTTCATCTGCTGATGTGATGATGTTTTTTTGTATTTATGTATTCATATGTTTTGTATATGTGTAATTTCAATGAGGATATTATGTTAAATTTTGATATGGGGTTGTATCAGTGCCATTTACCGTAATGTAATTTCAAATTTATCATTCTTTGTTAATAGTAAAGAAATTAGGATACATTTTAAGATAGTGCTTTGATTGTGATTTTTGCACAAATAATAATTTTAAAAATGTATTGTTTTTGTTGTTATTGCTGTTTTTATGCTGAGTGATTTAATGTGTGATTGTTTTGTAAATATATTGCTAATATTTGTATATATATTTATTTTTGGAAACTTTATTTCTAATAAAATAACAAAGATATTATAGATGATGTTTTTTTTAATTATAAAGCATTAAGTACATTTAGTCAACTATACATTAAGAATAATTCGGTAGTATCGGCGTGGTCGAGTCGGTAAAGCTGATGGTTGCTAAACCGAATAATCTCGAGTTCGAACCCTCGGGCAGATGAGGCTCGTTAGCTGGGGACAGCCACTCTTCTAGGAGAGACAACTCCAAAATTAAACAACTGCTGCCTTGTAGTTTGTTCTTGGTTGGACAAAGGCTATGGAAGCAAATCCAAAAAAAAAAAAGCAGGCTGAAATCGGAGTCAATGGCCTCTATGGCGCATAACCAGTTGACACGTAACGCTTAATTGTGTTGGAGGCGAGGTCGAGTCGGCAAAAAGCTCATGGTTGATAAATTCGAACAAAGTCTCGAGTTCAAACACACTGGCAGATAAATCTCGATCCCCTTTAACATTAAAAATTAAGAACGAAGAAGAAGAAGAAGAAAGTAAATAAATACTGCATCATTTACAAACCTGAGTGAAAAGTTAATTAATCTAAACAACACAATGTTCTGAGACAGTATAAATATAAATATATATATATATATATATATATATATACCCATACACACTTGTTAGTATGTGTATAGGCCTACGCATATGTATATGTAGGCCTATTCAAATATTTTTTTCTGCTCGATATATTTAACTTTTTTACCACCCCACTCCATACATGGATTAACATATAGCTTATTACTATTCTCAACCGAACCGTTTTCCTCGGGCATTGCCCCCCCCCCCCCACTTTTATGTCGTCTCACCCCCTCCCCCCACCTCATCAACAATGCATCGTATTTCTTCTTTTACATGTTTTTCATCAAAGATGTTTTTAAAAAATAAAAGGCAGAACCTCGTTTATAAAAAAAAAAAACCCATCTCCCCCATCAATACTTCACACACTGTCACACAATGATAGAATCACGTGACCCCAGTGTGTGTGGTGTCTTTTACAATAACAAATCGACAGATCTATTCTACGATGTTACACATTGGTCATAAACAAACATTTAAAACAACTTTGTCCTAATTTTCGGGCATGTGAATAATTTTATTTAGTAATTATTTAATGTCTTAGGAAAAAAATAATTAAGAACATTGGGTTAAAACGTGGGATAAATAAACATCTGTTATGAAAGTGAGAAGTTTGGCATTAGCTTATGGTTTATAGACTCCAAAATTGTGCATACATATTATATATATATATATATATATATATATATATATATATATATATATATATATATATATATATATATATATATATATATATATATATATATATAGGCTTTTTATATAATGGAAAAAGCAAGCCCGCGCGGATGGTTGGCACTAGGCCCCGCGTAGCACACATTCTGTGAGTTCAATGCTTATAGCATCTGACTTTACGACACCTGACTTTACAACACCTGACTTTACAACATCTGACTTTACGACACCTGACTTAACTGCTTAGGAAACTTGTCCATGACTTCATTTAATTTATCCAAAATTTTAAAGACACACTGCAAAAGTTTGATGATTTTCCAACCAATTCGTTTATTTACTTTCCCATCAAACAAACGTAAGTAATTTTAATATATCGACTGTTAGATTATAAAATTCTAGATGTTTTCTAACATGAGATACATTGAAAGGCTGCTATCTCCTAATAACAATGTAAAATGTGTGAAGAATACACACACATGCATAGATAAAACCAATAGACACGGTGCCCTGTCAAAACGGCCCCGTCAAAACGGCCCCGTTAATATGACGCCGTCAAATCGACCCCCGACAAAACGACCCAGTCAAAATAGCCCCGTCAAAAGGGCCCCGACTTATTGGCTCCCGTCAAATCCCGTTATATTGACTCGCGACATATAGGCTCCCGACAAATGAGCTCCCGACATTTAGGCTCCCGACAAATGGACTCCCGACATATTGGCTCCAGACAAATGAATGGCATGACCACTATTGGCATAAAAGTAATTATTTATTTTTCCTACCTCCACTACCATATAACCTCTTTTAATTACCAGAATGAAATTGTTTTTCATGAACCAACATCAATTAACAAACAAATCAAGCCCTTAACAGCTAAATTCCACCAATTCTAAAGTTTTGATTATGTTTAATTTACAAGTTGCTTAAAAGCGAGCACAGAAGTGTAAATGTATGATATACATGATGTTTACAGGATAACGACATTTTGTTTTGATAACCTACAAGCATACTGGAGGTAGGAAGGTACATCGTGGACCCTTCTCCCCACACACTGTGTTGGAACAGCCTATAACCGACTCAATTATGGAAGTCATAGATAGATGACCCTTAAATTAAAACATACTATATTTTATAACAGATAAACTAATATAAAAATGAGGCCTGCCGAACAAGAGATGCATACGTTGTATTACATAAGAGTGTTGGATAAGCTAACTGTAAAGAATGTTGATGAAGGGGTCCCACTGGCAGGTGTCATATTCAATGAGACCGCTTTGCCGGGAGACTTAGTCTCTACAGAAACGTTATTGTCAGTGGTCCTTTTGTCTGGAGCCAAATTGACAGGAGCCTATTGTGACGGTAAAACCGTTTAGGCCTAGCTCCATGTTTTTCTTACACCACCCTCTACCTGCTCTATTACCCCCCCCCCCCTCTACAACTACGTGTCGTACATTCTTATCTTTCACCCCCCTCACAGGCTCCTCTCTAGTTGGCTAGATTGTCCACGTGACACACCGCCAATGTTTTAATGCATATAAGGGGATGCAACAAAGAAATCTCGCACTCTCCCAGCACTGAGCTCAGCTGGTGGTGTCGCACGCGGCGTTGGGGCCGTCGGCCCGACCTCCACGTGTTTTGGGTTTGGTTTTACTAATTATTTCTTTCTTTTACTTAACTTTACTTTTATATGCATATTTGATTAACAGTGTAACAAGGAGTTTTAATAAATACCATATATAAATATTATCTTGCTGTCATGTATTTTTACATAAACACTTTACATTGTTACTTTACATTGTGACAGTCGATAACTTACCTGAATTACTTAACTTTACACTGCCCGTGCCTTAGCACACAGGGCATTTAAATACTTATTTGATGTAAACTATTCCTGCCTGTGACGTAATTCCACGCGGCAGTTGAGTAGACATTTACCTACATTTTGTACTACTTTTATCCTGCACGTGTGTCAGCCACGGAGCAGTAGATATTATATTATACACAGCCTCATTCTATTTTACTACAGGCCGTAAACTGCGGGCATTGAGTTGACCCGTAGTCATCGGACCTGCTATTTTATTTTATTAACCGGCCGTAAACCCTTGCCAGAGACAAGAGGTCATCGGACCTGGTAAGAACCAATTATCATTTTAATAAGGCTGTAAACTCTGGGCATTGAATTGACCCTTAGTCATCAGACCTTAATATTATTACCTCTAGTAAAGCTATACTAGAATCTATATTCCCGGTAAAGAAGCGGCGCAGACCCTCTTACCGGTTGAATACCAGCATTTCACTGATTTTACTATTATATCTATTATACGGTACCAAATAATTATCTTTTACCGTTAACACCTATTTGTCGTGAGCCAAAATGACGCTAGTCTATTTGTCGGGAGTCGTAATGACGGGGGCCGTTTTGTGGAAAAAACTAAATGCCGGGAGCCTATATGTCGGGAGCCAAAATGACCGGAGCCTATTTGTCAGGAGCCTTATTAACTGGAGCCCTTTTGTCGGGAGCCTATATAACGGGAGCCTAAATGACGGGAGCCTATTTATCGGGAGCCTTTATGACGGGGTCCATATGTCACTGGCCATTTTGACGGGGCTCTTATGTCGGGGCCGATTTGTCGGGGCCGATTTGTCGGGGTCGTTTTGACGGGGCCGTTTTGACGTCGCACGATAGACACTGATACACGCAACCGTGACCAGGTTTCCGAAGGGATTTTCCAAAATTAAGAATAGCGCAATAATTATAAATAGCACTCGGGGGAATTTCTTGTTGACCTAATGGAAAAAAAGAAGATAGGAAGGTGGCGCTGCGATCTATATCTAATCTATCTCGAAGGGGAAACAACAGCCGCTCCCTTCTGATCACGGCAAAATATTTGATCTAGGGCTTATTCTATTATTAATAATAATAATTTATTAAGCCTATTATTTTGAATTAAATACCCAAATTACTTATTTGAAATTAGTATAAATGTTAAACGTTTAGACTAGAATCTACAAGATTATAAAACAACAACAAATAAAATGGGCGCATTGTTTAGCTTTAGCAAAGACCATGATAGAATAGTTATTGCGTGTAAGTAAATCATTTTCTACGTTCATAGTAAAACTTATCTAATATCTAATCAATTTAACTGTAAAACTCGATCTACGTGAAGCATAAACATGCATAATTAATAATATGTTGTAAGTTTTCTAAAACTTTCACAAAATCTGGACACATATCGGTATGACTAATAGGCTACATGCCTATACTATACATTCCTATACTATAAAGTTACAATAAAAGTACCATAGACTATTTTAAATGAAGGTCTAATAATATGATTAGGTCTGGATCCATGGTGCAAGACTTCACAGTTGTTCAAACTAAAGCTTGGAGAGGTTGTTACAACAATACCCCCATTTGGTCAGTTTTTTTTTATCATACATTATTAATTATTAATAATTATTTATTTAAAAACCTAGGCCTATATTGCCTATATATAATATATTTCTTTTATTTTAATATCTAGGCCTAATTTACTAAAACATTTTAATTAGGCCTATTTATAATTTATTTAGGCTATGGTGTTTAAAAAATCAATGTCTTTAAGCTATTATTATACAATTTAAATTAAAAAAAACAGCTGTTGGTGTTGCTAAAATTTTTATTTTTATAGCAACATCTTATTCTTAATTTATTAAATTTTTTTATTATCTTTAGGTTTCAATTTCCAGAAACTCAACTTGAATGAAGCAATTGACATTTGTGGCAGAGATAAAATGGTGTGTTTGATCAAATATTTTCTGTCTGTTGCTTATTATAGTTGGCCGTTAACTGTAATCAAATTTTTTAAAACTTGGAAATTAAAAAAAAAAAGGTTGTTTTCTTTTGGACAAAGAATCAATTTATAATTAAAATAAAATTGTTGTCTTATAATAAGAATAAATTCCATTATTAGCAATTCAGCTATGTGATAAAAATGTTGACTTTATCAACTTTATGCCCAACACAAAAATAAACATACATTTACACTCCTTTTTATAACCTTTGCCTTACCAACCATAGAATATTATCTACATTTTTAAATTAATAGCTTATTGATGCTAATTTTAATGAACATTCAAAATAATTTTGGTTATAACAGTTTTGCGATACCTGTGTAAATTATTTAAAAAAAAACCCACATTGGTTAAACAAACTAAAAACATATTAAGTTTATTATCCAGAGCTTTTAACATCATTTCAGCGTCCCCTCTCTCGTGATTTCTACGCCAACACAGATGGAGTTATCTACATGATTGACAGCAATAACAGAGAAAGATTAGATGATGCTATAGACGAGCTAATGCAGAAATTCTTAACTGTAAGTAAAAAACTGTCATTGTGTGCATAAAGTTTTTGTATTGTGTGAGAGAAACATTTTTTTAAAATGGGAATATGAGCTGAGATAAATTATTTGTCGTTATGGTCTTGGTTAACCAAATTTTTAAAAAAAATCTTGGATTGCAGCAGCCTTATGATTTGATTGACACTGTGGTCATGGTCCTGGCCAACAATCAAGATCTACCCAATGCTCTTTCCTCCCAGGAAATTGAAGATCGGCTGAAGGAAAAATGTCCTCGCTGTAGACAGAGTAAGTTTTTATCTAATTGTCACTCAATAAGTCTAGGCTTTAGTTTAGGTGGTTTTTCTTTTAGTTCAGGTGGTTTTGTTTTAGTTTGGGTGGTTTTGTTTTAGTTTGGGTGGTTTTGTTTTAGTTTGGGTGGTTTTGTTTTAGTTCAGGTAGTTTTGTTTTAGTTAAGTGGTTTTATTTTAGTTTGGTAAATTTTGTCAGGTATTAGCTGGCTATAGATTGTTTTTGTTGTTTTTAAGCTCTGTATGATTTTTTCCTGTTAGCTACCACCTAATAGATAATTAGCTATTGGTTTGGCACGAATTAAATAATTCATTTCCTTTAACACATTGAACTCTAGGCTACTTATTCTTTGTTAACATTATAAATGTGTTTTTATATACTTGCCAATTAGTTAAAAGAATAAAAATCTGGGGTTGAGAAGAAAATCTGGCCAAAACATTTATACAACACGCATTGTGTAATATGTGATAGTTGTGTGATAACTTTGTGATAACTGTGTGATAACTATGTGATAGCTGTTTATTACATGTGGTCTTAAAGACATTCTGATACACATCTGATACGCTGTTCCAACTGATACATTAAGTGTTTCATTTGCATTTTTTGGAATGCATTCAAGTCTCACAACATTTACTCTAGTCTTTTTTTTCCAATACAAACAAATCAAATGAACCAAAGTCTGATTAAAAAATGATGCGTTTAAATTAGTTTTAAAAGATTCATGGGTAACTAATTTACTTTATTGCTTTACTTCCAGCAATATTTGTGTTGCCGTGTTCAGTAACCACCAAAGTTGGTGTGCATGAAGCTTTTGATGAATTTGTGAAGCAAATCAAATTAATGAAAGCTGGGAAGGCAAAGAGAAGTTACATTGATGTGCACAAATCTATGGAGGAAGACTGTTCAAAGGGAGGGAATTCATTAAATTCTATCCGGCCTGGTTATTTTAAGAGTTATCTTTCTTACTTCAAGCAGATTCTCTCCAATAAGAAACAAAAAAATAATTCAGTAAAGATGAGTGCTGGCAGGTCAGCAGAACCAGTGGACACTGTGACGTCATCAAACACAGGAGACTCGCAGCAAATGGTCAGCACTGACACCCAGCTCACCAATGTCCAACAGGTAGACCTACAACCTACTGACCAGTCTCAGCCTGTGTTAGACTCACACAGTAAAAGTGCTGACCTACAATGACCTACACAAGTTATCTGCTGACCTTAAGCTCACCAGTTATGACCGGCTTGAACTCCATTCTACCAGTACTCTGATATAAGTCTCTAAGACCTAGACCACCCACACAAGCACAGCCAACCTACTGCAACATTTAAAAGTACATTTGAAGCTCCAGTTCCACTGAAATCATTAGCAGTATAAAAACATCCATAGGGTGTACATAGAACATGTGAATAGAACAAAAGGGTCCAAAAGAAATGTAAACAATTTTTTTTTTATGGGAGAGTGTGGCCTAGTGGTATACTTGCTAAACTTCTAACATGTAAGTCTCTAGTTTGAATCCTGGTTCGTCAATATCGTTACGATCCCTAGGGATCATTAACCTTGTTTGGCCCCATCGAAGGGGACGTGACCTGATGCTCATAAACTAAGGTGACCAGTGCTTGAATAGCCGGCAATGTAATTAAAATGAAATGCGAAGGCATGGTCACGGATCGGCCAGTATAGGCCGTGAGAATCTGGGGGTCTGGCCGACCACACCCTTGATTGGAATCGACACTGTGGGCGGTGCAGAATTGGAGTCTGCGGGACTCGGATAGTAACTTGGCCAGTGGCCAACAGCCCATAAATTACCTTTTGACGCCACGGACTGACCGTTGATGCTTGACCTAGGCTAGTGACAGTCCGTGGTTTCTGGCTGGAAAACCCATGGCCGGAGATGACCCTGGGGTAGACCCCACACTTGCCTGGGTGGCTGTTCTCATGGTAGAGCATGAGGGACTCAAGTATTTTAGGGGACACAGGCACACACACAGACACACATCCGGATGGTTAGGGTGAGATGGGACGTCTCTGTGAGCTGGTGGCAAGCCACGAGATGTCTGTACTGTTGTAGACCTAGGATTGGATAGACCGTTAGGGAGAGAGTAGATTAGTCGGACTAAGGACTTTAGTTGTTGTAGATGGTTATATATTTTTCTTATTGTGTTCCATGTGGTGGCGGGTTAACGTTAGTTAGTGTATCTTTATTATGGCAATAAATAGAAAAGATTGATATTGGTATTTATTAATTCTTATTTTCTTATTCTTGTTTACGATTCCCTGACTAGTTCAAAAAGATTAGAGAAGGGGGTCGTAACAATAGAATGTTCCTGAGTCCACACAGCTCTGATTAGTACCTAACTCACATTAGGGAAAATAAAGGCAGCAGGGCAAAGTGCTGACTGCACTATCCCTTCATACACCGAGGTCTATGAAACACATGAACTCTACTTCATCTGCTGATGTGATGATATTTTTTGTATTTATGTATTCGTATTTTTTGTATTATGTGTACTTTCAATGAGGATATTATGTTCCATTTTAATATGGGGTTGTATCAGTGCCATTTACCGTAATGTTATTTTGAATTTATTATTTTACTAGTGGTAAAGAAATTATGATAAATCTTAAGACAGTGCGCTGATCGTGATTTTTGCACAAATAATAATTTTAAAAATGTAGGCTATTGTTTTTGTTTTTATGCTGAGTGATTTAATTTGTGATTGTTTTGTAAATATATTGCTCATATACATATTTATACATATATTTATTTTTGGAAACTTTATTTCTAATAAAATAACAAAAATATTATAGATGATGTTTTTTTTTAATTATAAAGCACTAATTATACATTAGGAATAATTTGGGAGTATTAGTAAACAAATATTGCGTGATTAGCAAGTCTGAGTGAAAAGTTAATTAATCAAAACAGCCAAATGTTCTGAGAACAACTTACTCTTTATGCGTCTAACCTGAGCTTGTTGCCTACATTTTAGGCCAAATTAATTATTTAACACAAGTTCGCAGGGGAAGGAAGCAGTTTTATTTCACTTTATTATAATACTGTATATTTCACAGTAGCTTCCCTTTATGGTTACTACAACAAAATATCCGGACAACCTGTTATTTAAAATATTGATCTAGATTCTAGAGCTTCGGAGTCAGAACGTAGAAATCTAGATTCTAGATCTAATATAATATAATAATATCACGCTCGACTACTAGCCCGAAGTACCCGAGTTCGGATCTCGGTTGGGACTTGTGACTGTAGGACGTCCCTGAGTCGACCCCGCTCTGCTGGGTACCTGACTCACGTTCCCGTGTTACTCACTAAAAAACACACATTTACTAAACACTACTAAACAGGCTGATTAACCCCTTTATCCACCCCCTGATTGAGGCCCTACATGATCGTGAGACGTTCCGTTTAGTCAGTCGCAACTTCTTTTTAAATAAAATAGTAGGTAGTAGTGCCAGGCCCTATTGGGATTGGTTAAGTTAAGATGAGAAACGTTAAGGGCAGGGCCACAGTAGTGTAGGCTAGGCCCTAGACTTAGTCCTGACCTTGATCTATGTTGTAGAGCTCTGTCAATAGACTATTGAATAGTCAATATTAATACTATAGGCTATAAGTATAGACTATAATGAATAGTGTCACCATTACTATACTAACATACTACTATACTATTAACTAATACTATAGTTAGTATTAGTATAAATAATATAATTATAAATATAGTGTCTAAGAGTAGCTAAGACATAGCCCTGTAGTACTCTTAAGTCTTCTAATAAAACAACTAGACTCAAGAGAGTTAAGATTCTATGTCACAGTTGACACAGTAGGCTATTTAAAAAGTTTTTTAAAAAAATTAAACATAGATCTATATTAAGATTAAGGAAGATTAAAAAAATAAACGTTGATTTTTATTTAGTTTAAAGTTTAAAGGGTTTGCTCTAAATTGCTGCTAGTAATCTTTTCAAGACATTTAATGATTTATTTTACCAATGCTTTTTTTCTAACTAGAGTCTTGTAGAGTTAAAGAAAATGTTGATGTTTATTTTCTTACATTTAATGCATTTAAAAAGGATTTTACGAAGGTTTTTTTACTTGTTTTCTTATATATTATATGTGTAGGCTCAAGATAAAAAATAAACATGGGTGCCTGGTTCAGTTTCAACAAAGATTATAGAGTACTTTTACAAGGTTTGTTATGTAGAATCTAGATCTGAGTTAGAGTTGGGATGTGAAACTGAACAAAACTGGATGCAGTGAAGCAGAATTATAAAAATTATTGTTAAATTATTTTTAAGCGGGGCATCCATTTTATCATGGTCTGGGGCGTGGTCTGACTTTTGTGATGACAAAAGTGTGCCCTCCCCCTGAAGGCAAGTTTCATTTTTTAAACAATTGGCCACATTACTTTATAGATATGATTAAGTTGGTTTAAAGTCAAATACTTTGATCAAATTTTCACAATAAAGCTAAGAATTATTTGATGGTGCTGTTTATCAGGTCTCTATGGAGCAGGCAAGACAACACTGTTGTACAGGTTAAAGTTTGGTGATGTTGCTGCAACTATACCCACCGTTGGTAAGGTTTGTTAACGTCATTAATATAATTGCTTCTTTTGTTAACTGATAACTTCTTTTAAAAAAACTACTGATAAATATTATTTATTATCAGATATTCTAAATTATTTTAGACACATTTTTCCTTTTTTGTTACTTTTTTGAGTTTCAGCACATTATTATCTTTTAATTATTAAAAAATAAAAGCTGTTTGTGTAGTTTTTGTATTTATTAAAAACTGTTAACCTTTTTTAGGCTGTAATCCGGAGATGATTTACTGGCAAGGTTTTTCTTTGGTAGCATGGGATGGTGGTGGGAGAGAGAAGACAGTAAGTTGGTCAGTGTTGTGCCATGTCCAGTGCTGACATCTAGTGAAATGATACATTCACCGCATTATAATCAACAGATTTAAAAATCTTTGACCTTAACTTAAAGACTTTTATATTCCAAAAAAAAGTACCCAAAATGATTTATAAATTAGCAGACACACTTTTTGAAAAATAAAATATTTAGATTAATTTGTATTTTTGAGAGATCAATACAACAATATGCTATTATATTCATACATACCTATAAATCTATACACATATATCTAATTTAAGCATTGACATATTATTTTTGAAACTTTTTTCAGCGTCCCCTCTATCGTCATTACTACGCCAACACAGATGCTGTCATCTACATGATTGACAGCAACGACAGAGAAAGATTAGATGATGCTATAGACGAGTTGATGCAGTGTGTATTAACTGTAAGGGACCATTCTTTTAGTTTAAATAATGTCCAACAAATAGTTTGATTAATAAAGTAGGAGAAGGTTTCACTTAATAAAATGTTAGCATCCATACTTGAATATATGACAACCACTTTTCACTGTATGTAAGTAAATTGTTAAAATCTTAATAAAAGAGAACCACTGATTAGCTTTCGTAACTTTATAAAAAAAAAATTAAAATTTGGGAAACCATTGGTCAGCTTAAAAACCTAGATAATTTTATAATTTTTTTTACCAGTGTCTATCAAGGTACTGTTTCTATAAGATGTATGTGAGGTTGTTAATAACTTGGTAGTGTCATTTTTTGTATTTGACCTAGTAGAGTTTAAGCAGGGTTTAAATTTGTGTGGACATAGTTTGCAGTTTAATTCCAGCATTTAAAAACCTAACACCCCTTTTTAAGACAATGCCATTATTGCAGTAATAATGTCCAACAAATAGCTTGATTAATAAAGTAGGAGAAGGTTTCACTTAATAAAATGTTAGCATCCATACTTGAATATATGACAACCACTTTTCACTGTATGTAAGTAAATTGTTAAAATCTTAATAAAAGAGAACCACTGATTAGCTTTCGTAACTTTATAAAAAAAAAAATTAAAATTTGGGAAACCATTGGTCAGCTTAAAAACCTAGATAATTTTATAATTTTTTTTACCAGTGTCTATCAAGGTACTGTTTCTATAAGATGTATGTGAGGTTGTTAATAACTTGGTAGTGTCATTTTTTGTATTTGACCTAGTAGAGTTTAAGCAGGGTTTAAATTTGTGTGGACATAGTTTGCAGTTTAATTCCAGCATTTAAAAACCTAACACCCCTTTTTAAGACAATGCCATTATTGCAGTATTATTGGATATGTTTATTGAACAAACTTAATAAAAAAAAAATCCTACCAGGCAGATGAGCTGAGAGACACTGTGGTCATGGTCCTGGCCAACAAACAAGACCTACCCAACGCCGTCTCATCACATGAGATTGTAGACAGGCTGAAAAAAAGATTGCCTCGCATCTCACAGAGTAAGTTTTTCTTTGTCTCTGTAGTCTCTTTATTTATTGCAGGCTAAAAGTTAAGTTGCTCACGACTACTAGCCCGAAAGTCTTGAGTTCAGATCCCAAGCTTGAGTCTGTAGAACGTCCCTGAGTCCACCCAACTAACGTTAGATACCAGACTCACGTTAGGGAAACAAAGGCAGCTGCTCATAGTGCTGACCACATTATCCCTTTGTATGTCCTGGTCATTGAAACAAATAAACTCTACTTCATCTGCTTCATGTGTCTCTGGATGAACATGAAAAGATGATCAACAGCTCAGTCAAAATTAAATAAAGATTTAATGATTTAGTTTTTTAAATGAATCTTGCATCAATTCATAAATTCATGATTCTCTCACCACACTTTTACAGCACATAATTATGTTTATACCAGATTTGCTTTATTGATTTTTTTCATAACAAATACAAAAACTTAAATTGCTCTTCTATTATATAAAAATTACTTGAAAATAGTAATAGGCTTTTAAAAATTTTCTTCCAGTAATATTTGTGTTGCCGTGTTCAGTAACCACCAATGTTGGTGTACACGAAGCTTTTGATGAATTTGTGAAACAAATCAAATTAATGAAAGCTGGGAAGGCAGAGAGGAGTTACATTGATGTGCACAAATCTATGGAGGAAGACAGAACCAGGGGAGGGAATTCATTAAATTCTATCAGGCCTGAATACCTCAAGAGTTATCTTTCTTACTTCACGCAAATTTTCTCCAGTGAGAAACAAAAAAATAATTCTGTAAAGATGAGTGCTGGCAGGTCAGCAGAACCAGTGGACACTGTGACGTCATCAAACACAGGAGACTCACAGGAAATGGTCAACACAGACACTTTAAATACAAACGTCCATCAGATCCTCAGCTGACCTACCTAAATAATTCACACAATGAAAGTGCTGATCTACATCAGGAGTCTGAGCTAAGTCTCAAGGTCTAGACCACCCACACAATCACGGTTGACCTAGTGCAATATTTCCTGGTTTAGTTTAAAATAAATTTCTAAATCCCGGGTTCAGTGATGTCATTTGCAATACAAATAAATCCATGGAGTGGACAAGATCAAGCTACTAGTTCATCACATATTGATATGTTTTGCCTTAATTAAATAGATCATATTTTGATAAATGTATATACAGAAAGTAGACATACACACAATAACTATCTGTGACTTACTGAACTAGTACATTGTGAATTTTATTAAAACTGAATATGGAGTTTATAATATGATCATTCCTTGTATATAGTATAGAATAAAGAATATTTCTAGATACTGCTATATTAGTTTTTGTTCAATTAATTAGTTTTTGCTACCTCTGGGTATTTTTTAAAAAAAATTAACAATTTATTGTTAATGTTTGTACTGCTGTTGTTTATTTATATAGAGAAAAAATTTAAAAAATTTCAATAATAGATAAATTTCTGACTATAAATTGTCGCCTACAAATAATTATGTAAAAAATTCTATGCTTTGCTTATCTACCTACAATGACTTTATTTAGGTCTCTACACGGCATCACAAAAGCTTTTGCTAAATATATTTTTGTGGACAACAATGAATTAATGACGTTGATAACATTTCACCAATATTTCCATTAACGTAATTTTAAAAAAGTTATTTACATAAACAACAGTTAGTGTAGATTTAACAGTATATTGGTGTATGTTTTAAAACTACTTACTCTTTACCACAAAGCTTGTCATAAAAAATATTTACATGAGCCTAATGACACTATGTTCATAATAAGCAGGGGAAATAAACAATTCATTGTTTTCTTTTTTACATTTCTTGAGTTACCTCCCTGCCCGTTACTACAACAGGATCTGACCAACAGACAAGGTTCCAATGTTAAAAATAGCAACACAGTAAGTGACACTGTTGAAAACAGCGTGGAAGTGGGCCAAGAACGTTACACATTCAGAACAAAACTACATGACTACATACATGAGCCTAGAACTTAGATCCATATACTATATAAAGTTTTTACAGTGTGCCATCTTACAAGTTAATAGCTAGATCTAGGCCTTTATGGATATTATATATATTTATATATTATTATAGGCATATTAATAATAATTAATAATACAAATATAACAATTAGTATAGTAAGTATAGTTAGTTAAGTTTAGTATAGGCCTACCACTACCTATAAATAAATCACTAAACTAAATATAAAAATAAACATGGGTGCTTGGTTTAGTTTTAACAAAGATTACAGAATACTTATACAAGGTAAGTTAATCAGTTTTTGGTTCAACTTATGGAATACACTATTATGCAGTTATAATGAAAATTATTGTTAGGCCTATAGTTACAGTATAATTGGCAAAAATTGTATTTAATATTTTAAAAGATTTGTCATGCAACTGAGCTAGGAATGAGCTTAAAATTGTGTCCGTGGTTGTATTAAAACAGGTCTAGATGCATCAGGCAAGACATCGCTGTTGTACAAGGTGAAGCTTGGAGAGGTTGTTACAACAATACCCACTATTGGTTAGTTTATTTAATGGCAATTTATAGGCAGTAAATGTTTATATTCTCAAGCATTTTTTACTTTGATAAGTTGAAAAAAAAATCTGTTACAATTTTTTTTGTTTAATTAAAATGTGGCTATCACTGTGTTATGGAATGACAAGTTCAAATGGTCAAGCGTTTGGCTGCTAGCCTCAAGTTCTCAAGTTTGGATCTAGGTTTGGACTGGTGACTATCAGACGTCCCTGAGTCCACCCAGCTCTGATGAGTACCTGACTTACATTGGGGAAAGTAAAGGCAGCTGGGCATAATGCTGACCACACTATGCCTTCATATGGCATGGTCAAGAAACTCTACTTCATCTGCCCAATGGTTTGCTAGGTCTAAAGAGGAACTTAACTTTACTAATTATTTAATCACAAGCTGTAGCATGAATCTAACAATGTTTTTATTTCGTCAGGCTTTAATGTGGAGACAATCCACTGGAATGGAGTTTCTCTTGTAGCCTGGGACATTGGTGGGAGAGATAAAATGGTGAGTTGGTTGATGGTCAGTGATGTACTGACCACTGCTGGAAAGTCAGGTTTCTGGTACCTTCACTAGCCTGCAGTTATTAACATTTGAATACAATTTTAACCCTAGACTTAACCAAACTCAAACCTACCTCAAACAATAATACAATACATTTTTAAGTCTTAAAGAAAAATTAATTTAAAAAGGTATAGTGTCGTTGAAAAATGATTGTTTTAAAGTTAGTTCTTTAAACTGTTTTTATCAGTGAGAAGAAACATCAAATCTATAAAATGATTATGAAATTTTTCAGCGTCCTCTTATCCGCCATTACTACGCCAACACACAAGCAGTCATCTACATGATTGACAGCAATGACATACAAAGGTTAGATGAAGCCATAGACGAGCTTATAAAATATGTTGTAACTGTAAGTGACCAGTCTTTTTTTTGTGTGCTAATCATGTGTTAAAGAAAATATTGTTGTATCATGGTAGTGGGTTCACATCTTTCATGTAAGCTTATATGTTTGTCAGGTTTCTTTCAGTTTATTTTTTCAACATTCCATCAAAAGTGTCAAAGTATGAATTAATTTAATTATAAGACAAGGATCTAGGCTAAAACAAGGATAAAAATAATCAGCAAATGCAAAGAAACATCACCCATATTGTTTTAGTCTTGTTTTTGTAGCGATTTCTTGTTTATTTTAATGAACATTGTTAGATGGAATCACCTTCAGTGATTCCTTATACATTATATTTTTAAATATTTTAATAAATTTGAATAATTTCTAAAAATTTATCTTAGTTTACAATATACCAAAAGTTTGTTTAGTTTACAATTTAGCCTACTAAAAATTTGTTAAGGTTACAATATACTAAAACAGATGAGTTGGAAAGCTCGTAGGAAGTATTCTGTGTACCTCTGTTTTAATTTATGTAGTTGGATACTTGTATTTACTGATGTAGGGAATAAGTATCTAGTTGTTGTATCCTGTATGTTTGTAATGTAGAAAAAGTATATTTAGTCATTAATTGTGATTCTGTTGTATTTCTGTCATGTATAAAATGTATATTAAGTCATTAGTTATGTTTCTGTTGTATTTCTGTCATGTATAAAATATATTTTAAGTTATGATTCTATTACCTACCCTCTTGTGTTATGTACTCAAGCAAACCAAACCAAATACATTTTTAAAACAATTCTACCAGGCAGATGAGCTGAGAGACACTGTGGTCATGGTCCTGGCCAACAAACAAGACCTACCCAACGCCGTCTCATCACAAGAGATTGTAGACAAGCTGAAAAAATTTCCTTGCGTCTCACAGAGTAAGTTTAAATTTTATCTAAGCAGTGTGGGGAGAGTTAAAAATAGTCCATACATTTTCACTTCCAACATATGATTAATCAGTTTTTACTAACTACTATTGTCCATGTTTAAAATTTAAAAAAAAGAGTTAACCCTTTTGACAGTTAAGTTTAAAGTAAATAGATCTAGATGATTTAAGAATGTTAGGTTCAGGAAAATATTTCTTCAAAATGTAACCAATAAAAATAAAATAAACTTTTTTTTTACTTCCAGCAATATTTGTGTTGCCGTGTTCAGTAACCACAAATGTTGGTGTGCATGAAGCTTTGAATGAATTTGTTAAACAAATCAAATTAATGAAAGCTGGGAAGGCAGAGAGGGGTTACATTGATGTGCACAAATCTATGGAGGAAGACAGAACCAAGGGAGGGAATTCATTATATTATTTCTGGCCTGAATACCTCAAGAGTTATCTTTCTTACTTCACGCAAATTTTTTCCAGTGAGAAACAAAAAAATATTTCTGTAGAGGTAAGTACTGGCAGGTCAGCAGAACCAGTGGACACTGTGACGTCATCAAACACAGGAGACTCACAGGAAATGGTCAGCACTGACCCTCAGCTCACCAATGCCCAACAGTTAGACATTCAGCAGACCAATGCCCAACATGTAGAACCTACTGACCAGTCTCAGCCTGTGTTAGACTCACACAGTAAAGCTGCTGACCTACACAAGTTATCCAATGATCTTAAGCTAACCAACCATGACAGGCTTGAAATCCATTCAACCAGGACTCTAAGCTAAGTCTCTGAGATCTTGACCACCCACATTCCCCCTGCCTGATAGATCTACTTGACCTTTAAACCCTCAGTGATAAGAACAATACAAGGTCTATGGGATGTGCATCATACATCTGTTTCTTCAATGGTCAATCCTCAGCAGTAGAGAAACAAAATCTAAGGCTACATCCTACAATAGATACACACGTAATTCTGTTCTTAAAGACAAAAGCTATGAGGTTTTTTTAAATTAATGACTTAATAAAGACAATGTGAATGTTGTTTGTTCTGATTAAATAGGGTAATACTTATCACTTTGAAGATCATGTTTTTGTTTAATATAATGTAATACTGGTCAATCCTTGATAGTAACAAAATTGTTATAAATGTAATGGTACTGCCAGTAATATCTTAACATTATGCAATTATTTATATTTTCTGAATTTTCCATATAATTTATTATAAATAAGTTGTTATTGCTGTTTATAAGTGATGGCATCATTGTATAGTTGAGTATTTGACTGATGTTTATAAGTGATGGCATCATTGTATAGTTGAGTATTTGACTGATGTTTATAAGTGATGGCATCATTGTATAGTTGAGTATTTGACTGCTGTTTATAAGTGTTGGCATCATTGTATAGTTGAGTATTTGACTGCTATTTATAAGTGATGGCATCATTGTATAGTTGAGCATTTGACTGCTAACCAGAAAGTCTAGAGTTTGGATCCCCAGCTGGAGTCTTAAAAAAGTCTCTGAGTCCACCCAGCTCTAATGGGTACCTGAGTCACGTTAGGAAAAGTAGAGGCAGCAGGGCATAGTGCTGACCACACTATCCCGTTATAAGCTGAGGTAAAAAAAAAAACAAGTGAAGTCTACTTCACCTGCCTCTAGGCACCGTAAGGTTCTAGAGGGTACTTTACTGTTATTATTGCTGTTAACATTTCTCTAAAATCAAACAAACCCGAGTGATTTCCCAACACCTTTATTTTCATGGTAAAATTTGTTGCAACATTTGTACATTTTTAAAAACATTTTTTGTATGTAGATCTAGTACATTTTTTAAACAATTGTTTTTGTTGATTATAAATGGCTAAAATATTTACATTTTAATGTTAAGGTCTTTCATGAAATAAATTGACAAAAATGTTTTTCTTTATCTTTGTGTTACTAACAGTAATTTTTTTTAAAATGACCACTTTGACAGTCTCAGTAACAAAACACCTGACAACATCACTAATAAATATCTGACTACATCAGCAACAAATATTTGAAAACAGCACCAACAAACTCTTGTATAAACATGGCTATGTTTTGATTCATTAAAATATGGTCATGTTAAGATTATATATTTTGATTCATCAACAAACATAAATATTGTATATCTCTCCTTAAACTCGAGCTAAAATCAGACTACCTCCACACACAAGGAGAAGATCAAAGATAAATCTGAGGGCTCAGACACATAAATGAACACAGACATCGATTGCTGACAATTACACTAAAATTTAATTAGAACCTTTTTAGAGTTTAACAAAACAGCTAGGTTGTAGTTCTCATATCGTTCTAAGCAAAACCTTCCCTCCATCGCAAAGTTATGAACAAGATCTGCTGTTTACTGCACATGACCTACTCTCAAACCTAAATTTTGAACACATCATACTCTCTAAACCAGACTTTAATAAGTTTTAAACACATCTTACTGTACTCTCTAAACCAGACTTTATTAAGTTTTAAACACATCCTACTGTACTCTCTAAACCAGACTTTAATAAGTTTTAAACACATCCTACTGTACTCTCTAAACCAGACTTTAATAAGTTTTAAACACATCTTACTGTACTCTCTAAACCAGACTTTATTAAGTTTTGAACACATCCTACTGTACTCTCTAAACCAGACTTTAATAAGTTTTAAACACATCCTACTGTACTCTCTAAACCAGATTTTAATAAGTTTTAAACACATCCTACTGTACTCTCTAAACCAGACTTTAATAAGTTTTAAACACATCCTACTGTACTCTCTAAACCAGACTTTATTAAGTTTTGAACACATCCTAATGTACTCTCTAAACCAAACTTTAATAAGTTTTGAACACATCCTAATGTACTCTCTAAACCAAACTTTAATAAGTTTTGAACACATCCTAATGTACTCTCTAAACCAAACTTTAATAAGTTTTGAACACATCCTAATGTACTCTTTAAACCAGACTTTAAGAAGACTTGGATACTGCAGCTAGTGTGTCGTTCCTCAACCATTCCAAAACATGGGGGGTGAAGTAAGTGATCAGAATATCCACACCTAAAACAATCAACCAACTTTTTAATACTAGATAATAAATAGTTACAAAATATTTTATCAGTAACAAAATCTGACACAGCAAATAATAAAAATATTTAAAAAGTATTAAATTTTTTAAAGCAAATGTTAATGTTGGAAACTGATTTTTCAAAAAACCAACTAATCCTATGTAAACTACTATTTAAAAATATAATAATGTCAAGGTTAGGAGATTTAAAAAATTAAGTTGTAGAAATGATTTTTGAAAGAAGCTTGCAAATCCATTCATAATAAAATGTTACTTTGATTATCTATTTTAGATAAAATTATTTTGTTTGCTGACCAATAGAATTCAAACATTTCTATAGTCAAACACTAGCAGTATAAAAGATGTAAACAAAGGGCAGGGAACTCTCACCAGCTCTCCTCATACACTGCAGAGTCTCCATGACTGCTGCCCTCAGATCAAATGCTCCAGCTTTGGCAGCGTGGTACAACATGGCGTATTCCCCAGACACGTGGTAGATGGCCATGGGGTGGGTGGGGTACTAAAGGCCAGAGTGGAGGAATAATTAAACATTAATATTGTAGTTTAAAGATATAACCAACAGTTTATTTTTTAAAATTGGTATTACCTCCCCTGATAAAATTTTTACAACTGACAGAAATTTGTAAAAAAAAATTCTTTATTTTTAGTATAGCACTTGAACTGCTACAAACTTTTCATGACAGTTTTACTTAAGGGGGTAGGCTCCAGAAAAAACCAACTTCTTAATTAAAAGCTTTTATTGATTCATTTGTGTATATCTAAGTTAGGGTACTTGTAGGGAAATATTTCCATGCATCAGGGACTTTTTTGAAAATTTGGTTGCCATGGCAACGGCGGCCATCTTGAAAAAAACATCCTTTTCTGGAGTTCTAAAATTTCATAAACTAACATAAATATCGGCTATATAACCATTGATCCTTCTTGTACTAACGCTAATAGAGTCAGCTGGCTAGTTTTTGTAACAGAAATCACTCTAGAAATATTTTTTTTTAATTTTCAAAATTTGGTGTGACGAAATTCCAAGGAAAATAATGCTAAATTCAATGGAATTTCACCAAATTTTTTTTTGAAAATTTGAAAAAAATATGTCTAGCTGTTTTTCGGTAACAAAAATTAGCCAGCTGGCTCTATTGGTGTTAGTACAATAAAGATCAATGATTATATAGGCGGTTTATATGTTACTTTAGGAAATTTTAGAACTCCACATCGGTAGTTTTTTCCAAGATGGCCGCCGTTTCCATGGCAACCATATTTTCAGAAGAGTCCCTTGTACATCCAAATATTTTTCCTTAAGTACCCTAACTTATACATAGGCAAATAAATGTAAAAGGCTTTCTAATTAAAAAGTTTTTTTCCCCGTTTTTTTCGGGAGCCTATCCCCTTAAGTTACAAGTCAGTCAGTCAACACCTGACTTTCAGTCAGTCAACACCTGTCCCACATCATGCACCAGCTCACCTTCTGCTTCAGAAGTCTGACAACATCCAGGTATGCCAGGCCAGGTTTGACCATCAAAAAATCTGCCCCTTCTGCTACATCTCTGTCCTGGTGACAAAATTATGTAAAAAAAAATGTGGATTGTTTTTAATCATACAAAACAATTAAACTATAAGATGAAAATTTTTTAAAATTTATATTTATACTTAAAAAAATATTTTTGGAGAGAAATTAAAAAAAAAATAATTTGTCTTGTTTTATTGTGTGTCAAGGTCTTAAGGTGGATCAAGTAACTGGTTCCCAAAACATTTAAGGTTCAAATTTTGATGCAATAAAATATTGCTCAAGATTTCAATGAGCCCATCCAGCCTTTAATGGGTACTCGACTTCATTCAGGGAAATTAAAGACAGCTGAATGTTGTACTTGTCAGAAAATCTGTTCACACACTATGTCTATAGAAGCAGATGAACTCTACTTCATCTGCTACTGTAGGTATCAGCTGCCTTACTTCTACTAACAGAGACTGTCCAGGTAAACAAACTAAAACATGTACTACAACTGCCCAGCTAAAGAATGTAAATCATGTTCTACAACTGACCGCAGCTCTCTCTGCCAGACCAATGGAACCGTGGGGCAGCTGATAGCATTTCCTGTCACCAAAACTGGGGGCACTTTTAGCTGCATCCCTAAAGTGATACACAAAATTAGTTGGGTAAAATAAATTTTTCAAATCTCCTGCAATAAATTGTTTTTTTATGAATGGAAGTCATCACAAACAGAAGTGTAAAAAAATTATTTATAAATTAAGCTTTGAACAAGATTGAGTGGAACTTTGGTGGCCATCTTCTCATTAGGCAACACTCATGTCAAGGGAGAGAAAAAAATTGTTTTAAAAACCCAGCTGGATTTAGTAATTATCACTTTCAATTAACAGTTAATTTTTGGATCAGTATGAATGAACTATTTCATCAGACAAAATATTCTAAACAAACTTTTGTGTTTGGTGCACAAAAATGTGGCATGGAATTAATCCAAGCTCACTAATGAGTGAAAGTTTAGAACACACAAATATGTAAAATGTATGGGTCAGACATGCATGGTCAAATAGTAGAGCCAATGACTGTTCAACTGAAAGTCTCAAGTTCAAATCCCAGGCTAGAGTCGATAGGATACCCCTGAGTCCACAGAGCTCTAATGACTCAGGTTAGAGAAACAAAGGCTGCTGGGCATAGGGCTTACCACACTGTTCCCTTGTATGCCAAGGTGAAAGAAATTAACTTTATTTCATCTGCCCCATGCTTTTCGGGCATGAAGTTGAAAACATGATGTTGTGTCCAACAAAAAAACGTTCCGTTACCAACATTTGAACACCAGCTTTAGTCCACACTTTTGCTTTAAACATGACAGAGTTGCACAGCTCTTTAAGGTACCTAGCATCAGTGTGTAAACAAGCCAGGCACCACTTATCCCATCTGTAAGGACTTTACGACTTTATAAGGTGCTTCCCTTAAACATTAAAATATATCATAGAAACTTGAATCACCCACCTAAAAGGGCCATAGAAACTAAAATTACCCACCTAAAAGGACCATAAAAACTTGAAGCAAATTTAGCGCTGTAGCTCATGACAGACACCTTGTGGCCGATGCCAGAGTTGAACAAAGCTTTTTTTATGGCCCCAATCCTTCCATCCATCATATCAGAGGGGGCAATGATGTGACATCCTGCAGAAAAGTTTTTTGTGTTATGTTCTATTTTGGCCTCTTGCAGTAACCATTTATCTGGCTACTCACAAACAAAAAAACAGACATTTTACTGTGTTTACAATGTGTAAAAGCCTAGTGGCTGAGCTGGGCCTACTAGACTAGAGTTCAAAGTTTAACCTCATATCATCTTCTATCCTGTTTGGTTGAGGTTGCTCAGTCTACTCAGCTCTAATGAGTACCTGATGTAAATGTACTTGTCACACAATCACAAACTCTACTTCACCTCCCTACAGATTAATCAGGTACTGCCATTTAAAAAAAAACCTTTTTGCAAACATGTAATGAAAAATAAATTCTAACTACATTAATAATAGTCTAGGGTCCATCAAATGAAGACTTTGATATCAATACAATCAAAGTGTGCTTACATCAACATTTTAAGAGTTGTCTATTTTACGCAGTTATTTACTAAAATGCTGCATTGTTTTGGTCTAGCTAACAATCTACTGGCTGCAGCTATGTCTGGTTACCTGCTTTAGCATAAGCTACAGCTATTTCAGCCAGCCTTTCTATACTTGGCTCATTGTCAATGGTCCCATCTGGTCTAAGGTAGCCTGTAATAATAGACCAAACAACAAGATGTTTACAGTAAAGTAAAAAAAGTAAAGTTTCCCTTTCAAACCTGACGGTCTATGGGGCAAGTGAAGTAGAGTTCACTTGTTTCTGTGACCTCGGCATATGAAGAGATAGTGTGGTCAGCACTATGCCCAGCCGCCTTTACTTTCCCTAACGTGAGTTAGGTACCCATCAGAGTTGGGTGGACTCATGGACGGTCTACTGACTTGAACCCGGATTCGAACTCGAGACTTACGGGTTAGTAGTCCAGCTCTCTACCGCTAGACCACTCCGTCCCATGTTTACAGTAGTGTGGGCTATATATAGGAACCTAACCAAGTTTACACCAAAATGTGATCACTCAGTTAACTGAACTATACATGTGATGTGTGATAAAATGGACTAATGATGGAGTAATTTTTTTTTGACATATTGCTGACTTATGACTGTGTGATAAATATGACTACGGCTGAAGTGATGAATCAAATTTATGACTGCTGTTATAAAGTGGATTTATAACTGATAAAATTAGACTTATGACTAAAGTAATAAGTTAGATTTATGATTAAGGTGATGAATGAAAATTATGACTGATGTTATAAAATAGATTTATGCCTGTTAAAATTAGACATATAAAGAAGTGATTACTTATATTTATGACTAAAGTGATGAATTAAACTTATGACTGAAGTGATGCATTAAACTTATGACTGATGTGATGAACTTATGACTGAAGTCATGAATTAAACTTTTGACTGATGTGATGAACTTATGACTGAAGTCATGCTTGACTTACCACAATGTCCATGAGAGGTGTAGGGACACAGACACACGTCACAAGCAATGAGGAGGGAGGGGAAATCTTGTCTCAGTGCCTTGATGGCCAGGATAACAGGTGTGTCAGGGGCGTCGGCTGCGGAACCTTTTTCATCCTGTGTATAGGGGGCATTACAAACTTAGATAGGGGACATCACATACTTATATAGGGGGCATTACAGTCTTATATAGGGGTATTACACACTTATATAGGGGACATTACAAACTTATACATGGGGCATAACAAACTTATATAGTGGGCATTACAAGCTAATATAGGGGGCATTACAAACTTTAGACTTTCTAAAATACAGGGGACATTTGTCTGTGTGTCTGAGCTGTGACAGCTGTTCCTGTGTCTGCTGTCCGTGTGTCAGCTGTCCGTGTGTCAGCTGTCCGTGTATCTGGTCTGTCCGTATGTCTGCTGACAACTGTCCGTGTGTCTGCTGTCCGTGTGTCCTGACCTTCTCCAAGTTCTCCGGTACACCAAACAACAGCACGGCCTTCAGACCTTTCTCAACCAGCGGCCCCACAGCCTCCCTCAGCCTGTTGACGCCATAACGGTGCTGGTCTGGCATGCTTTTGATGTCTTGGACTGCATCAGGGTCGTCTCTATGGAAACAACATGGCTTTATACACCTTGGGGATAGGGGTTCAAGTGGTATCGTTTTCATCAGTATCGTCATAACCAGTATCGTCACCTCCAGTATCGTCATAACCGGTATCGTCACCTCTAGTATCGTCATTACCAGTATCGTCATTACCGGTATCGTCACCTTTTAAAATGTGTATACAAACAACCAATGTACCAGGAGCCTACACACGTGTAAACAAAGTCGTGTATTAACGGATCTTTTAGAAATGACGACCACATATTTTAACCAACCCCCCCCCCCCCCACTGTCAATAGCTAGACCAGCAGTCTTCTTAAAAACCACGCACAGTTACACCATAGCCCACCACCTCCAACTATAGGCCTTACTCCCAACATAACACTGGAGTTTCATCATTTTCGTTCTTTAAAAAAAAAATCTAAAATAATCACCACGTCACATGTATTGAAGCCTCCCTACCCTCACCAGTGGTCTGATTTACCCTCCCCCCCCCCCCCCCCCATTTCCAATTAGGTCAGTGACGTCTTTTAATGATGATTCCCCCCTATACACAACACATGTGTCTGACAGTGTCTTTACACAAACTGTACACCAGCCACGGATATAACACGAGACAATCCCATCTATGACTGCCATTTAATCCAGTTACGTGCTTAAGAGAGACATGTGTTCAAGAGTTTCTTTCAGGCATCTCTTCGAACGAAATAAAATTTTATATAGAAAATACTTTTTATCAGTGCCCCCTCCCCCCCCCCCCCCCCTTCGGACATTTCAATCCCCCCCCCCCCCCACTCGCCCGGAGAAAAAAGTCTGAAAGAAACACTGCGTACAGATAATGGTACTGTTCATTTAGCCCTACCAATTTCAACTCTAAACCCACTCATCATTACAGCACAAATCATTCAGTTCAGACCCAGGGGGCAACTGATAGAAAAATCATTCGGAGCCCATCGCTATGAACAATTAATTGACTAAATATAATAAAAATTGTATGCCTATATTCAATATTCCCTACAATATCTCATAAAGAAATGGGCATATGATGTGTAACAAAGCTTGTGGTAAAATCATTAATTTTTAGATGCAGTTTGTAGAGAAAAACGAAATCACGTTCTTTATCTCTTCCCCCCCCCCCCCCCTAACAACAAAGCGCGTGACCTAGCATCCCCATCACATGACTGGCGTTTTAAAAAAGTGAAATGTCAGGAGAAAAATTTTCAAGTCACGAGGCTGGTGGGGGGGGGGGGGGGGGAATGAAAGGGAGGGTCGTTTATTTCACCTCGTGATATCGGGGCTAGACTTCCCTCACACTATGCACGCACACTCTCACACATACACACAAACTCTCTCTCTCACTCTCACACACACATAATGGAGAAACTAGCACGACTGGACTGGAAACGATGTAGTCCATTCATTTAATGAAAATGTATTCGGAATTCGTCTAATATTTTAGTATGTTTGCGTTCATGTTTCATCGTTATGTTTTCAGTTTTGGTGTATATAACGATTGTTTTTTTACACATAGGCCTTACGCACAAATTTAGAGTTATAATGTAATAATAACATGAAGGAGTGTGTGGGTGATGTTGTAAATGCGAACAGGTGGGGGTATGTGGGAGAAAAAAGTGTGGGGGAAAAGTGGAGTATGTGGGGAAAGAAGTGAAAGTGTGTGGGGGAAAGGTGGTCTGTGGTGAATGTGTGTGGGTAACGGCTAAATTGTGTGTGTGTGTGTGTGAAGGTGGTATTGTATGAGGGGGTGGGAGAGTGACGTTGCAACAATAACATAACAATATGTAATCGTCTAGGACAGGGGTTCCCAACCTTTTTTTACTCTAGAGCACATTCTAAAATATCGGTAGGGTGGCGGGCACCACCTATTTTAAATCGACAAACTCCTTCCAGAGGCGTAGCGACCCTTCCCGTCACCCGGGGACGAAACTTTCGATTCGCACGATTTGCACTTCCCCCCCTCAAATTTTCGATTTGCACCCCCCCCCCCTTTCAAACTTTCGATTTGCACCCCCCCTCAAATTTTCGATTTGCACCCCCCCCCCCCCTTTAACTTTCGATCTCCATCCCCTTCAAACTTTCAATAATGTTTATGAAAAAAATTCTGTCTCTGTCGGGAGAGCCAAATGTTGCGTCAAAAAGTGGGGAGATGAACAAAACATCCGTGTGACAGAATGATGAGAGAACTGGTCAGCTGCTTATCTGGCCTCTCTGTCTGTATGTATGTATGTGTGTATGTGTATATATGTGTGTATGTGTGCACTGAATTGAGGACAACGAGACTGCGACATTTAGCTCGTTTGGATGGTCAAGTAGGCTACACAGTAACTGTAACCGTTACACATATTGGAACTGGTACACTTCCTGTACACACCATTTACACATTTCGACGCCCCAAACGAACTGACAACTTGGTGATCTTAAATCTAGGTGATAGGTCCTTGGTTTTGTTGGGTAGCCTGTGCTCCCACTAAAACATAGAGGTCGCTAATGATAATTTGATTTTAACATACAAGGATTTAACATACAGGTATAGATTACGTTCAAATTCGTATAGGAAAAAAGAGGCCGTTTGGTGGCATTCCACCCCCCACCCTAGCTACACATTTGGGACAAAACTTGTTTGGTTTGGCCCTGGTGTTTTCCTTTTTACCTCGTGGGGGTAAGGCCGTCGTCCCCACTCCTCCTCAGACTAACGAGACACCTAACAGTCGATTTTCATCAGAATGTGAAGTGGTCGGAATGGTGTGAGTGTGTGTGTGTGTAGGGGGGGGGGGTCAGGATGGTGAGAGAAGGCGGGGGGGGGGGGGGGCAAGCAACGGGCATGACAAACAATGTCAACTCAATTTAGAAAGATCAGGCAATTAGTTCTTTACACTGTTTTTTTTTTACTAATGTACTACATATATTTGGAAACAGATTAATTAAAACGGCTTTTTTTTTGCGGAGGTAATCCTGTTTGTGTAGGTCTAGAGCACTTTTGTAGCTCAGAGCTAGAAAAATACTGTAAGTTTCTGTATAACCCACGTTTCTATTATTTTACAAGAACTGTTGTACATAACCCATTGAACATAGCACCTATAAGTTATATGACCGTCTTGTGGTTTCTACATAAAATAAACAATCATATGGACTTTAGATTTAGTGTATGTCTTCTCACACACAGATAAGAAAAGGCTGAAACATATGTGGGACATGTAGCTTACAGTTATCCTAGGCTACTGGCTACATATATCCATTAGTTACTAAGATGTAGCTCGTAGCCAGAAACCACACTATATTCTAGTACCTAAATTAATAAATAAAGATCTAAGTAGGCCCTTTTGTGGTATATGTATTAAATTCTTACATAAAAAACGATAGGTCTATAAAAGCTCTCTACACTAGTCTATAGGCCTACTACTGTAGTGTGTTACAACGCTATAGCAAAGATAAACGTAACTGTAACTTTACCACACACAACAACATAACTATAACGAGGCCTAACTAATATAAATATACAACTAGTCTACTAAATAGCAACTAAAAAGTGATAAATTCAGATTAAAATAAGGTAGCCTAAACTTTTTTAGGCTACCTTATTTATCTGAGTAAAATAATGACAACTAGACTCCCTAGAAGCTAGAGTGCCGAGGGTCAGAGGAGTACTCACACTATGAACAACGGGTACATTAAGTTGTCAGGACATATCGTAGTACCCTGGGACTGCCAGGCCCTCAGTGTAGGGTGATGATATCCACTGTGTAAAATTGCGTGACTCGCCATGACTCTTGTTTTCGCACTACTGGCAAGGAAAATCCTGGGTCATCACAAACACAAGTTACAATTATTGTACTTTCGTTTTTACGCGACGGTTACGTCCCCTTGTGTGTTTTTTTTCCCTCATCGAGCCTACCAATGAGAGTTCTTTCACGTGATAATACCCCCCCCCCCCCCTCCTCCCCCCCCCTCCTCCCCCCCCCCTTCTCCACTGCGATTCATTTACACCAATTTCTCAATACATGTTAAACTTTCTCTAATAATATCCTATGCAGCTGTCTGAAAAAGCCCAGTTGAACTAGATTGTCTATCTACTTTTACTTATTTACTTATTAATTTCATGAACCCATGACTGAATATTGAATAACGAATTGGATTTAATTGTTCAATCTATGTTGCGTATAAATTCAGATATTTTATTTTAAAACGGGGTTTTTCAATTCTGAATAAACTAATTTTATATGGTAAATGACCGATAAGATTAAGATTGTAGGCTTACTATTCTAGATTTTAACCGAAAATAGGTTCAAAATAGCGAAACAACCAAGAGACATAACTATGTAAGACCGTGGGCTTTTCACAACACAAAATGAAGTTTAAAAAAACAACCGGAAATGTAACCGGGAAAAGCAACACTATTGTTTACATTTTATAATACACATGGCTGTTGTGTTGTTGTCACGCAAGTACTGAAAAAGTTATTCATAATTACTTGGGCTTGCAAAGGCCTCAAAGGAGTTTACGAAATAAACACAGGTTAAAGTTCCTTTACAAACCGGTATAAAAATATCTATCTATTTCTAGATCTATGATTCTAATTCTATGTCTAGTTGTCTACCAAAACCTAGTTTTTCTCACTAAATCTAGAATTTACGCAATTATCAATTTAAACATGACCACTGAATAATAGACATCCATATTTAATCCATTAGGCACTAACTTTGGAGTTTTTAGTTCGTTTTAAACTAAATTACTTAATTTAATATTTATTGTCAATCACTGCCATGTCCAACACATCTCTCCATGACAACTCTTCTTAAGCTTGAAGCTAAAGAAAACCACAAATCAAGTTAGACTTTTTAAGTGGCCATGCACAAGAGTTCCTCACTAGTGATCACCAAATAGTGGTCACGTGGTTTTTTTTTCAAAAAAAATTTGGTTGTCATTTTTTCGGCTGGTCTCATAAAAAAACGGTTGACGATATTTGATTTATTTTTTCATAGACTGATAAAACTAATAATGCTTTAGTATGGAAATCAATTTTGTAATATGGAAATCGATATTTAAAAAGTTCTAGTATTTTTGATGAAACCAACTTTTAAATTTAGCCTTCATTCTCAAACGCAAATTTTAAAATGCTTTTCTGGCATATATAGCCCTGCCACCTATAGCTTGTTGTTATAACGTGAAAGTCCCGCCATTTTGCGCGTGGTAAACATTTTAAAAACTAATTAGTAGAAGGTCTCTGGAATTTGGCCGAAAAATCGTCGGAAGTCAAGCGTCCGGTCCGGGCGCCATATTGTTGTTAGCAACCGACCACGCCTCCAAGTTAGCGAGTAATACTACCAAAACCATACAGACTACAGACAGGCGACAGACAGGACAGTCAGTTTCAGTTCAGACATGAGACGAGTTCAGAATCAGCAGTGTGACAGGTGTCACTGTCAATTCAATACTTAATACTAGATTCTAGATCAATAATTCAATACTTTGAATACTCAAATCTGTCATCTCTGGTGAGTCTGATCTCAATCATTCATTGATAAATCAAAGACATCATTCACTGACATCTCTCTCATCTGCTTCTTTAATCAGATGATATTTTGAGTCGACCCTTGCCCTTTGACACCTTTGTATTGTTTCCCTAGCAAAACGACCTCTCCCCCCGCTCCAGATACTAAATTTTGTTGTTTACATGAATGTACAATAGGATGTTCAGATGTTACATTTGTTTTATGAGTAGGCCTACCTTTTATTGTGGATTCCATAATTTTTAAATTATAAAATGTAGGCCTATAGTACCCACCCATCTCTGTTGATACTGCTTCAGTATGGCAACCATTCCTGGAATAGCAGTGGATGCAGTGCTAGTGAAAAGTGATGACATGCCTGAGCACACAGAGGTCATCCGGGGATATGATTTTAATGAAGGCGTCAACTACCACAAGCTGTTTGAGAGTATGACGCGGACGGGGTTCCAGGCTACAAGTGTGGGGCAGTCCATCACAGAGATCAACAGAATGGTAGGTAGCCCACACTTAAGCTGCTGCTGTAGTAGTCCATCACAGAGATCAACAGAATGGTAGGTAGCCCACACTTAAGCTGCTGCTGTAGTAGTCCATCACAGAGATCAACAGAATGGTAGGTAGCCCATATGCAAGCTGCTGCTGTAGTAGTCCATCACAGAGATCAACAGAATGGTAGGTAGCCCACATGCAAGCTGCTGCTGTAGTAGTCCATCACAGAGATCAACAGAATGGTAAGTAGCCCACACTAAAGTAGCTGCTGTAGTAGTATGCAGTGTGATCACTCCAGCTGCTGTTTTCGACAGCTAATATTTTCATTTATTTGAAAAAAAAAAAAATTTTTATCATGTATCTTCATTTTTTATTTTGGTTTTTCCAGTTTTCACTTTCTCATATTTTTTCTTACTAAACAATCCAACTACTGAAAGTGTCAGATTGATTTTTTTTTTAATCATATCTGTTAATAATTGATTAAAGTGCCATGGAAAGCATGGAATATTTGGTAAATTATAGAGAAAATATCTAAACTAAATTGTTTTTATAACATGTAATTAGCAGATGTAACTGAAAATTACTTTGGTAAAATATCTGACAGATTGATTGCAAGTTTCAAGAAATCCCAGCTGAGAAGAAACCAGCCATGAACCTTAACCCATGTGGAAGGGAGTTAACCAACTGTACCATTTTTCTCAGCTACACATCCAACCTTGTCTCAGCTGGTACAAGGGAGATAATCAGGTACCTTGTACAACATAATATGGTGAGTACTGGTTCTTTAACTAAGATGACTTATATTTAAAACACCCTGAGTGTAGATTAATAAATAAATAATTACAAAAAAATAATTGATGTACAACATGAGTACTATTATTATTTATTTAGTTTTTGAATTATTAATTTGAGGTGTGTTTGATTTTTTTACGATTCCTAAATCAGGTTGATTGTGTGGTGAGCAGCGCAGGGGGTATTGAGGAAGATTTTATCAAATGTATGGCACCAACTTACATGGGAGACTTTTCTCTACCTGGCAAGGAGCTTCGCAGTAAAGGATTGAACAGGATCGGCAACTTGCTGGTGCCCAACTCTAACTATTGCCTGTTTGAGACCTGGGTCACTCCAATACTGGACAGCATGGTGGAGGAACAGAAGGAGGTAAGGACAGTTAGTTAATGCTGGGTCACTATCATACTGGACAGTATGGTGGAGGAACAGAAGGAGGTAAGGACAGTTAGTTAATGCTGGGTCACTATCATACTGGACAGTATGGTGGAGGAACAGAAGGAGGTAAGGACAGTTAGTTAATGCTGGGTCACTATCATACTGGACAGTATGGTGGAGGAACAGAAGGAGGTAAGGACAGTTAGTTAATGCTGGGTCACTATCTTACTGGACAGTATGGTGGAGGAACAGAAGGAGGTAAGGACAGTTAGTTAATGCTGGGTCACTATCATACTGGACAGTCTGGTGGAGGAACAGAAGGAGGTAAGGACAGTTAGTTAATGCTGGGTCACTATCATACTGGACAGTATGGTGGAGGAACAGAAGGAGGTAAGGACAGTTAGTTACTGCATATGCTTTCTCTGAAGGTTAGTGGTTAATTGAGAGAGTATGTGGTCGCTGACGTGAAAGTCTTGAGTTTAGTCTTAGAGTTGTCCATAGGTCATTTCTGAGTCCATCCATTTCCGATGGGTACTTTACCAAGGTATGAAAATAAAAAGGAAAGAAACCTCTTTAGACCTAGCCATCCATTCTTTTGGAATAGTACAGATCACAAAAATCCCTTTTTACACTGAGGTAGAAAAAACTCTACTTCACATGTCCTTCATGGTTAACAGTCATGTTTGCCACGATAGATAAAAATGATAAAATTCAATTAAAACTTTTTCAGGGAGAGAAGTGGACGCCTTCCAAGATCATTTCACGATTAGGCAAAGAAATCGACAACCCAGATTCTATATACTACTGGGCCTATAAGGTTGGTGCCTTTTAATGGAGAATAGTTATGATGTTAGGTTGTTGCATTTTAACAGTACAATTTTGGTTAATGTAAGTTTTTAATAAATACTGTTGTATTACTTTGTGCACATACCAAACATGGAATAAATACTAAATTATATAAATACTTAAAAAGATGTAAGCTTTTATTTTTCTATTTCCTAGTTAGTAATTTTAAAATAATTTGGTGAATGGAGTGTAGTGTGTCATTATGAAATTAATATTTTTCTATCATTTATTCCATTCCTTTAGAACAACATTCCAGTTTTTTGTCCAGCTTTGACAGATGGCTCTCTGGGTGATATGATCTACTTCCACTCCTACCAGAAACCTGGGCTTGTTATTGACATAGTGGAAGGTGGGTAAAGCGTGGGGGGGGGGGGGGGGGTAATTGACTTGTTTATGCTGATGTATTCACACTTTCAGTTTAGGTCAGTCTGACCTTTTCTAAAATTCTGAGGTCAGCCTGACATTTTCTAAAATCCTTAGGTCTGTCTTATCATTCCTAAAATCCTTAGGTCAATCTGACCATTCCAAAAATTCTGAGGTCTGCCTGACCATTGCTAAAATCCTTGGGTCAATCTGACCATTCCTAAAATTCTGAGGTCAATCTGACCTTTTCTAAAATTCTGAGGTCAGCCTGACCATTTCTCAAACACCTCCAACTTACCATGTTTACCCCTGGTTGTACTTTATAATTGCTGTTGTAGACATCCGACGTATGAACAGCCAGGCTGTTTACGCAGTGAACACAGGAATGATTATACTTGGTGGAGGCATGATCAAACACCACACGTGTAACGCTAATCTTATGGTGAGATACATACGTTTTCTGCATTTTTATGTACAATTTGTATATTAGTAATATATGACATAAAATTTCTATATATTCAACATACACATTTAGTCTAGTATAAACTGTGTATACTTAGTTAAATATTAAGCTAGTGTTATATGGAAGTTATACTATAACACTCTTAAAATCTATAATTTCCTGTAAAAATTTAATTTGCTAACACTATTGACCATGACCTAATTGTTAAACCTAGTCTTTCCTCTACTCTAGAGAAATGTTGCAGATTTCTCTGTGTATGTGAACTAATTGTTAAACCTAGTCTTTCCTCTACTCTAGAGAAATGGTGCAGATTTCTCTGTGTATGTGAACTAGTTGTTAAACCTAGTCTTTCCTCTACTCTAGAGAAATGGTGCAGATTTCTCTGTGTATGTGAACTAATTGTTAAACCTAGTCTTTACTCTACTCTAGAGAAATGGTGCAGACTTCTCTGTGTATGTGAACTTATTGTTAAACCTAGTCTTTCCTCTACTCTAGAGAAATGGTGCAGATTTCTCTGTGTATGTGAACTAGTTGTTAAACCTAGTCTTTCCTCTACTCTAGAGAAATGGTGCAGACTTCTCTGTGAATGTGAACTAATTGTTAAACCTAGTCTTTCCTCTACTCTAGAGAAATGGTGCAGATTTCTCTGTGTATGTGAACTAATTGTTAAACCTAGTCTTTCCTCTACTCTAGAGAAATGGTGCAGATTTCTCTGTGTATGTGAACTAATTGTTAAACCTAGTCTTTCCTCTACTCTAGAGAAATGGTGCAGACTTCTCTGTGAATGTGAACTAATTGTTAAACCTAGTCTTTCCTCTACTCTAGAGAAATGGTGCAGATTTCTCTGTGTATGTGAACTAATTGTTAAACCTAGTCTTTCCTCTACTCTAGAGAAATGGTGCAGATTTCTCTGTGTATGTGAACTAATTGTTAAACCTAGTCTTTCCTCTACTCTAGAGAAATGGTGCAGATTTCTCTGTGTATGTGAACTAATTGTTAAACCTAGTCTTTCCTCTACTCTAGAGAAATGGTGCAGATTTCTCTGTGTATGTGAACTAATTGTTAAACCTAGTCTTTCCTCTACTCTAGAGAAATGGTGCAGATTTCTCTGTGTATGTGAACTAATTGTTAAACCTAGTCTTTCCTCTACTCTAGAGAAATGGTGCAGATTTCTCTGTGTATGTCAACACGGCGTGTGAATTTGATGGCAGCGATGCTGGAGCTCGCCCTGATGAAGCCGTGTCTTGGGGTAAAATCAAACCTGGCAGTCATGCTGTTAAAGTGAGTTAAACCCAGTTAAACCTGACAGTTAACGCTGTTAAAGTGAGTTAAACCCAGTTAAACCAGGCAGTCATGCTGTTAAAGTGAGTTAAACCCAGTTAAACCAGGCAGTCACGCTGTTAAAGTGAGTTAAACCCAGTTAAACCAGGCAGTCACATGGTTAAAGTGAGTTAAACTCAGTTAAACCAGGCAGTCATGCTGTTAAAGTGAGTTAAACTCTGTTAAACCAGGCAGTCATGCTGTCAAAGTGAGTTAAACCCAGTTAAACCTGACAGTCATGCTGTTAAAGTGAGTTAAACCAGGCAGTCATGCTGTTAAAGTGAGTTAAACCCAGTTAAACCAGGCAGTCATGCTATTAAAGTGAGTTAAACCCAGTTAAACCAGGCAGTCACATGGTTAAAGTGAGTTAAACTCAGTTAAACCAGGCAGTCATGCTGTTAAAGTGAGTTAAACTCTGTTAAACCAGGCAGTCATGCTGTCAAAGTGAGTTAAACCCAGTTAAACCTGACAGTCATGCTGTTAAAGTGAGTTAAACCAGGCAGTCATGCTGTTAAAGTGAGTTAAACCCAGTTAAACCAGGCAGTCATGCTATTAAAGTGAGTTAAACCCAGTTAAACCAGGCAGTCACATGGTTAAAGTGAGTTAAACTCAGTTAAACCAGGCAGTCATGCTGTTAAAGTGAGTTAAACTCTGTTAAACCAGGCAGTCATGCTGTCAAAGTGAGTTAAACCCAGTTAAACCTGACAGTCATGCTGTTAAAGTGAGTTAAACCAGGCAGTCATGCTGTTAAAGTGAGTTAAACCCAGTTAAACCAGGCAGTCATGCTGTTAAAGTGAGGTGAACCCAGTTAAACCTGACAGTTAACGCTGTTAAAGTGAGTTAAACCCAGTTAAACCTGACAGGCATGCTGCTAAAGTGAGTTAAACCAGGCAGTCATGCTGTTAAAGTGAGTTAAACCCAGTTAAACCTGACAGTTAACGCTGTTAAAGTGAGTTAAACCCAGTTAAACCAGGCAGTCACACTGTTAAAGTGAGTTAAACCCAGTTAAACCTGACAGTTAACGCTGTTAAAGTGAGTTAAACCCAGTTAAACCAGGCAGTCATGCTGTTAAAGTGAGTTAAACCCAGTTAAACCTGACAGGCATGCTGCTAAAGTGAGTTAAACCAGGCAGTCATGCTGTTAAAGTGAGTTAAACCCAGTTAAACCTGACAGGCATGCTGCTAAAGTGAGTTAAACCAGGCAGTCATGCTGTTAAAGTGAGTTAAACCCAGTTAAACCTGACAGTTAACGCTGTTTAAAATAGGTTGTAACCTGATACAATATTAAAGTAGGCGCCCACCCTGTTGAAATGAGTTAACCAAGACTGAACGTAGAACTTTGCTCAAAAGTTGTTTTTTTTTTGTAGAAGAGGTCTTTTAATTATTTTACAGTAGTTATTCATATTAGTTATTTAAAGCTTTGATGAATGACTTAAACCAATTCTGCTACTTCTCACATATCTCCAGGTGTATGGTGAAGCTACTGTGATATTCCCCATCTTGGTGGGGGAAACCTTTGCTAGCAGAGAGAAGGAGTTTACAGAATTTTACTCAAAGCGCAATGACTGATGCCGTCTCCACTACCCACTTGTTTTATTGTTGTTTTATAAACTGTGTAGTTTTGCTGTGTAACTTGACTTTTGCTCAATTGGATCTCGCATTGTGTCATTTACAAGCTGTTTTTGACATTTACATGACATTGGTGACATTAACATGTAATTGGTGACATTTACATGCGACTGGTGACATTTTCATACCACTGGTGACATGGACATGACATTGATGTCAGATGTGACTGGTGCTTAGGTATCATTGTGATGGATGAAATTGTCTCTTGTAGTAGCTGTTATTCATAGGCCTACCTGACTTTATTTATGCATAAACAAATTATTTGGATATCTGTCCAAGTTTTTAGATAGCTCAAAGTACTAAAATAATTTCTCATGTAACAATATTTATTCAGTTTTATTTACAGTGCTTAAAATAAAAACATTGGCTTATTGAGGCATTATTGTACAAGTAAAAGAGAATAAATTAATTAATTGAAGATTTATTTCCAGCAACTAGAGGGTTAATAAAAATGAGATTGGTCATATCAAAACATTAAAGAAAAGTTTGCAAAAGTCTAGTTATGAGTAAAATGCTGGTTATTTAAGTCAATACATATTAAAATGTGTATAAATAAATATGTATATACATATACCCATATATTTTATGTATAATGAACCCCTAAAATAAAAATCATTGACTCAAGGCACAGCAAACACAAGATATTTCTAAAATGTCATAGAAACCCATAACACACTAGGCTCAGTTTAAGACTACTTTCAAATTACTAGACTGTACAATGTGTATTGCAGTATCATTGAAATTGAATGTTTTTTCACAAATTGTTTATTCTTTTATGATTTTTCTTGTTTTTACATTTATAGCCTTTGTATGTTATCTGATATTTTTAATATGTTGTTAGGAAATGTTACTGTTCATTCAAAAGTTGTGAGCAATGATTTTATTGAGAGCACAAGTTCTCAATGATTTAGCTGTATATATAATTTTTACATATTAAATATATAGAATATACTACCCTGTAACAGTCTTGTTTAGTGCTTTGTTGGGTAATAAATGAAATGATGATGAGAATAAAGAAATGAAATGATGAGAATAAAGAAATGAAATGATGATGAGAATAAAGAAATGAAATGATGATGAGAATAAAGAAATGAAATGATGATGAGAATAAAGAAATGAAATGATGATGAGAATAAAGAAATGAAATGATGATGAGAATAAAGAAATGAAATGATGATGAGAATAAAGAAATGAAATGATGATGAGAATAAAGAAATGAAATGATGATGAGAATAAAGAAGTAAAATGATGATGAGAATAAAGAAATGAAATGATGATGAGAATAAAGAAATGAAATGATGATGAGAATAAAGAAGTAAAATGATGATGAGAATAAAGAAATGAAATGATGATGAGAATAAAGAAATGAAAGATGATGAGAATAAAGAAATGAAATGATGATGAGAATAAAGAAATGAAATGATGATGAGAATAAAGAAGTGAAATGATGATGAGAATAAAGAAGTAAAATAAACAGTCTGAGATAGACCTTGGGTTCATACTTAAGTTTTCTTACATGGTTAAACTTCAATTTGTAATTGTCTTAATATTTTGTTACTAGTCTTAGCATTGCCAAATGGATAAAACAGAGGTAAATTCTTTCATATTTAAAGATTGTTTAAATAGAGGGATGTAATAATTGGACACATGAACAAAACAAGTTAGGAATGTGGCTTCATACAAGTACAAATTTAAAAAGTTATCAATAAATAATTTCTACCTAGATACAAACCAACAACCAATTTGTGATCAGATGGTAGCGCTTTTATACTATCAAAATTCTAGCTTTTTTAACTTTCAACTGAGACTTACTTTAATCAAAACATTTAGTATTTTGAACATATTCAATTCTTTAGTAGGCCATATTTAATTTTTCATCAGGTATTTCATTTTAAATTTTAAACTTAATATTAAATTCTAAACAGCCCATGTAATAGATTGAAATAATTGTGAGGTCAAGGGAACTCACTCTTCTGTATTAGTTATATTTATAATATTGTTATCTTGAGTGATGTCCCTTGTGTACTTCCTTCCGTCCTCTCTGTGTGTTTCCATCGTGAGGTAGTTAGACCCATTAAATGTGTTATATACAACCACAGGCTTCTGTCGTCAATCTATTATAACTGGCGACGAAGGATAAACATCTACTAGAAAGAGCACCTACTTACGCAAAAAAGAGGTTTGCTAGAGCTTATTAGCTAATTATTTCTAGAATTATGGCGCTGTATGGCCAAATAAAAGAATTTGATGCGAATGATGAAATCATTCAAGATTACCTAGAGAGGTTAAGCTTTTACCTAGAAGCTAACGACGTGACGATAGAAGCCAAAAAGAGAGCTGTTTTGTTAACAGTCATAGGGCCTCAACAATTTAGGCTACTAAAAGACTTATGCACACCAGCTAGTCTAACTACCAAGAGCTTTAACGAGCTGAGCAAATTGCTAACAGACCACCATGCGCCTACCCCATCAAAGTTTTTATGTCGAGCTAGATTTGACAGTAGGACTCGTCAACCAAACGAGTCGATATCAGAATATGTTGCTGCTTTACGTCATTTAAGTGAATTTTGTGAATTTGGAGAAACGCTGTCTGACAGACTGTGTGAAAAGTTTGTGACAGGTGTAAACAGCCCTGATATTCAAAGAAAGTTGCTGCTCGAGTCAGATCTAACATTAGAAAAAGCAATACAACTTGCAACTTCATTCCAGCAGTCATCAGATGCGGCGAAATCTCTTACGCCTTCAGGGATCCATGCAGTAAACAGCAGGTTAGTCAATAAACATCAACCCCATCAGAGCATTCCAACTTATGCTAAACAGCCTGCTCGTTCAAATCCTAGATCTAAATCTAGTAATAATTATCAAAAATGTCATCGATGCAAAGGTCCCCATGCATCTCATCGGTGCAAGTTCAAGTTAGCAACTTGTTATAAGTGCGGTAAGCAAGGTCACATTGCCAAGGCCTGCTTTGCAAAGTCTTCGTCTGTTGCTAAATCTAGCCAGTCAAGACAGTACCGCAACCAAAGGCAGCACTATGTTAACTCTCACCAAGACTACCTAACCCAACCAATGAACCACTCTACCTGTGAAAATGCTCAAACTGATTCGCAGCCGGATTTCAACCTGTTCTCTGTGAAATCAATAAGTCATGCTCCCATCAATGTACCAGTTAATATCAACGGTAAGAGCATCAGCTTCCAACTTGACACTGGAGCATCTCTAACAGTCATAACAAAGAAAGATTTTGACGCTGTCATAGGAGGATCAGTGCCTCTACAGCCATGTCACAAGTGTCTAACAACATACACTGGTGACAATGTTCCGGTAATAGGAGAGTGTATGGTTCATGTAAGTTATAATGGTCAAAGTGTTAAACTTCCTCTTCTTGTGGTTGAAGGAAATGGACCGCCATTACTAGGTAGGAACTGGTTAAGTGATCTTAAGTTAAATTGGGAGAGTATTTGTTCATTGAAGAATGTAAAAGAATCTAGTCTTACTTCACTAGATAAAGTTATATCTGAAAATAAATGTGTTTTTGGTAATTCAGGTTTACTAAATGATAGAACAGTGAAGTTAAGCATTAAAGATACAAATCCAAGATACTGCAAAGCTAGAGTTCCACCTTATGCAATGAGGAATAAAATTGAAGATGAGCTAAGTAGATTGGAATCTAATGGCATTATAAAGAAGGTAGACTATTCCGATTGGGCGACACCCATTGTGCCAGTGTTAAAGAAGGATGGTTCTATAAGAATTTGTGGAGATTATAAAACTACACTGAATAAGCAAATAGAGCTAAATAGGTACCCTATTCCTAACATTGAGGAAATTTCTTTGAATTTGGCAGGAGGAGACAAATTCACTGAATTAGACTTTAGTCATGCTTACACTCAACTAGAACTGCATCCAGATTCAAAAGTCTATACGACAATAAACACACATAAAGGACTCTACCAATATGAAAGACTATGTTTTGGCATATCATCCAGCCCTGGAATTTTCCAAGCTGTCATGGACAGTATTTTTAAGGACATTCCAAATGTTTGTGTTTACTTTGACAATGTGTACATAACTAGTAAGAATGACACTGAACATCTTAAAACACTTGATAAAGTCTTGAAAATTGTTGGTGAAAAAGGTTTAAAGATAAACAAAGATAAATGTCAATTCATGTTGACAGAAATTAGTTTTCTTGGTTATATATTGAGCAAACAAGGCATCAGACCTCAACCTGAGAAAACAAAAGCCATTAAAGAAGCACCCAAACCTGAAAATACCCAACAACTAAGAGCTTTTTTGGGCTTGATAAATTACTATGCAAAGTTCATAGGGAATCTGTCTGGTAAACTATCACCACTGTACAAGCTGCTACAGAAAAATGCAACTTGGCACTGGGGTAAACAACAAGAAGCTGCTTTTAACACAGCAAAAGAGGCTTTGTCTGCTGACACCTTACTAACTCACTATGACCCAGGGAAAAGACTTGTATTGACATGTGATGCTTCACCAGATGGTGTAGGAGCAGTCTTGTCCCACATGGATGAGAAGGGTGACAGACCCATTGCTTTTGCCAGTAGATCTTTGAACCAGGCTGAGAAAAATTATTCTCAGTTAGATAGGGAAGGCTTAGGCATCATTTTTGGTGTTAAGAAATTTCATAAGTTTCTGTTGGTAGGAAGTTCACCATCATTACAGATCATAAACCATTGCTAGGTTTATTTGGAGAAAACAAAACCCTACCTGAGCATGCCTCACCAAGAATTCAAAGATGGGCTATCACACTAACTGCATACAATTATGAATTGAAATACAAACCTGGATCTGAGAATTGTGCAGATAGTCTTAGTAGATTACCTTTAAAAAACCAAAGCCTGAGCTATGTACCAGAAGATGTATTTGTTCTCTTCACTATCATGGATAACTCCAATATAAATGTGAATGATATTAAAAGAGAAACACAAAAAGATGAGTGCTTAATAAAAGTATATGAGTACTGTAAGAATGGTTGGCCTGAAGAGTCTGTGAATGATGACTTAAGGCCATATTAAATAAGAAATAAAAACCTTTGTGAAGATAATATAAAAGATGGAGAAGATACAGTCCATTATCAGTCAGAGTTGCCTAAACAAAGTATTTGTAACTTAATAAATGATTATGGTGATATGGCAATTTCAAATGTTTTAAAGAAAATACATTAGTAAGAAGGAATGTGATCATCAAACAACTTTGCTAACATCATTAGCACTTACAGAAACTAAAAGGGTAACATCAAAAGAAAAGAGAAAAAGATTTTTGCCATTTAATACTTTCAGATGCCAATTCAAAAAGTCAATCATGACAGAACACCCATTGAAAGAGAATTTGGTGTTAATAAGAATGTGTATCTAAGAAATTATGGGAGAAAGGAATAATGGATACCAGGTCAAATTGTTCAATGTACAGGACCTGTGCCTTATAAAGTTAAAAATAACTTGTGCAGATAATAAGTGTGAATCTGTCAATCCCACCAAGTCTGATCAGTTGACACCAACTCAGTTTGTTCCACAACCAAGTTCTGTTGATATGAGTGAACCAAGTTGTCTGGAGTCAGAAAATGTAAATTCTGGAGTTAATGATTTAAATCCTAGACCTCCTGAGATAGAGAATCCAAATGGTCAGAATATTGAGTCACCAAATCAAAGGCCACTGAGAAGGTCAAACAGGACAATCAAAGTCCCAAATAAGTTAGACCTATGATTCTAAAGGTCAAAAGGACTTTGACATTATTGTTTTGTATTTTGATTATGTTGTAGCATATTGTGCATTGTTTGTAAGGATGTAATCTACCATAGTGTTCATGTTACAATATAATTGGTGATTTTAGGATACTATCAATTGTTCTATTGAGAGATGTGTTATTGTGTTCTAAGGGTAAAGGGATGTA